GTGGTGGTGGTGGTGGTGGTGGTGTCGGCGGCGGCGGCGGCGACGGCGGCGGCAGCGGCCATTATAAAAATAACTGCTGATTGGACACCCTACCAAGAAAAGTCGTAATCGCATCCTGAAATACCTCTTCTCTTTTCTTTCCGCTTACTTCGCCATTTCTTTTCTCCTTATCTTGCCATCTTCCTCTCAGTCTACCTTCTTTGCTCACGGATTTCCACTCGCTAACGCACCTTTTCCTTTCCCCTCTTCTTCTTTCTCTTCTCCTTTGATCCCGCGTTATCTTAGTTACATCGTATCTCTCACGTACTACGATTCGTACTACGATTCGTACAACGAAATAATATACCGCTTCGTTCGCGTTTCTCTTGAATCTGAAATGCTCGAAAAACAATTTTGGCGCTGCTCTAAAATCGTGTATTTACCAATTTTTTCAAGCGATAACGTTTGCCATAAAAAGAAAAAATACAAATGGTCGAATAGCAAAGGAGTTTCGAAAGCTTTCAATCTTGGTAAAACTAAAAGGACGAGAAGAATCGGCCGCCATTTTGCGAACACAACTTTTATCGCCGCGCCCTATATAGGAACATTATGCCCTGGGTTGCTGGGTTGCGCGTATATCAACAATAATTGCAGGGCCAATAATAAAGCCGGAGAGACCACGCTCGATAGCCCGAAATTGCTGGTTCCCCTACTCTGGCCTGCAACGTTTTATTGCCTACGCTCTGCAGAAAGGGAGAAAGGGAGAAAAGAAGCAGACAAGAATGGCGGACAGCACCCTTCGTCCTTCTCGATGGCGGATAAACGATCCTGCGATACGATGCTCTAGCGATGGCCACTCGCGCACGAGTTCGCGAACAAAACTTCGCTTCGTCGATGATTAAAATTCGAGTACGCGTTCAAGTCGCGAACGCTTAAATTTGGAAAGTGATCGATCGTATCGAAGCGTTTTAAAAATTCTTTGCAATTCTATAAATCAAACGAAGTAAGAATCGTTCGAATTTTAAAAAATGTCTACAAATCGTCGAAAGATCGATAAATCGTCCAAGTTACGTGGCTCGCTTCGTACCGCGAGCTATCCGAGCCTAGTTACCAGTCAGTCGCTGTTATTATTCCAGATACTACTTGCTCGCGTTATTGTTCCTTTTGCCGCTGCACTTCGTAGCATCGTCTTCGTCCTTGTTGTCGTTGTTGGTCTTGTTGTTGTTGGTCGCGCAGCGAGGTGTTTCGTAGCCGAAGAATCGTTGGCAAGCTCGTAAAGAGCCGCAAAGGAGAGGCTCGCACGCGCGATAGTCACGAGTATTGCCCTTGTTAACGCCCCGTTAACTCGAACCTCTGGACAAACTCGTAAAATTTACCGGCTTCGAGCCGGTACACGGCTGCTGCCGGTGAATTTTCGCGTGACTTTAAATCGGCTCGGAATTATGTGTTTAGTGCAAACGTCGGCCGAGCCATCGCGGTTGTACAATCATCTTCCCTTGTCCATACTTTTGATTTTTTATTTTTCTTTTATTATTGCCCCATCCCCTTTTTTATTCCGTTCTTTTTAATTAGTGACAGTGAATACTCTGATAGTAAAACCTTGTTAACGGTTCGCTGATACGAATCTCGAAGCTCGTAACACTGAAAAACAGTATCGCCGCTACCCTGTCTCTTCGGATGCGTTGACGAAAGCTCGTCGAGTTATCGAAACGAGGTGATAATGACCGTGGCTGCGTTAACGTGAATATTTAACTCGTGTACGTATTAAAAACACGGTATTTCTAGCGTAACGTTCGTTAGTAACGTCTCTGTGGTCGAACGTTAACGCGTCGTTCGACGCAGTAGAAATAACCGTGACTAGTAAGACGCGCACGACGAGCTTCTCTTTCCCATATTCCATTCCATCGGTTAGGTTGTTCTGTTTGCTATACTGGAGGCGTACGATACAGGTAAGGAGATCGTAAAAGCCGCGGTGCTCGCGTGATCGTTACGAATTCGTTATTGTTCTTGTTAACGCCCCTCGCTGGAAGCCTTGGACAAACCTCGTAAAGTTTCAACGGTGCACCCCGCGTGTGTACCATCGTCGAAAACCGATCACGTAACGGATAAGGGGAAGAGTCTCGCGAACCTCGATCTTATCCTTTCTCACTCGCCCCGCTGTTCTTTTTTATTTTCTAGTTTGATCTCGTCAAGTTAAAGACGATCTCGTTTGATTTCAGGGACACCGATCAATCGGCTACCGATCATGGCGAAGTCGGTGCTGGATCTGTACGAGCTGTACAACTTGGTGATCGCTAGGGGCGGCCTAGTCGACGTAATCAACAAGAAACTGTGGCAGGAAATCATCAAAGGCCTCCACCTGCCATCGAGCATCACTTCCGCCGCGTTCACTCTGCGCACCCAGTAAGTAGATCGTGAAGTTTCTCATCCGGGACCCAGTTCCGGCTATGTGCCCGTTCGCTGCTAATTCGTATACAACGAGCTATCCGGCCCCGTGCTCAACGAAAGCTCGTCCGAGCATGAAATCTGCATCGATGACTAACAACACCCGTCCTTTCGTGCTTCTTCTCCCGAGGAAGTTGCTCTTACCAGTTGCTACTCCCTTCAACATCGTTTCTTTTCTCTTCCGTTTAGACTCGACGCGACACATCGTCGATCGTTCCCGCTTCTAAACCGTAGATCTTATCCGCGTTTCGCGCGAACTCTGAGTAATATTAAAACCACGAAAATAACCGTAAGCGGACCGTGAGAGGGCGGCGTCTTCGTCGAATCGTTCGGCTAAAATTTGAAATAGATCTTCGGGGCGTTCGTTGTTCGTGCCGTCATTCGCGTACGTTTATGGCCAATTTGAAACGGAGCAAAAACTCTCGATAGAAGAGCGAAAGAATCGAAGGGACGCGCAGAAGGAGAGGGTGGATGGGGACATCAAAGCACACTCGACGCCTTCCGGACAGCCGTTGTTTGTAAAACGCTATCATCATTACCACTGGTGAACGCGAACGCCAAGAAGGACTGTTTGTATGCTTAAGATGGCGGCTTGTATCAGCGAACGGCGTGTTCTCCGGGAAACAAAAATATACGAAACGGCGGCCGGCACAAAAGAAGCTCGGTTAGGGGAGCAGACAATATTAACGTTCCTGAGCCGTGCTGCGAACACTCAAAACCGTGGAAAGGCTGGAGAGCGGTGGCTCGTGCCAGGTTAAGCCCCATTCGTCACCTGCCAGAGAAAGAGTAGCCGACAGATTTGCCTGTTACTTCGATGAAATTATTTTAACGCGGTTTACCAACAGCCATTCGTTCCCAAATCTACGCATAGAAATTGAATTTTACAAACGTTAAGGAGCATTCGAAAAGTATCGAGTTATACGAGAATTAACGTTTTCTTTTCTCCTTTCCTTCGGTCGAGCCACAATTCCCTGCCATGATTCTTCTCTTGGACGCGTTAGAGCTTCGCCGCTTCGACAAACAGAGCCGGTATTTATGCGAACGGAACGAGAGATCGCGAACCTGGAAACATCGCGCGATGACGATTAAACGCGTTCGCGAAAGGAAGCAGCTGTTACGCCCGCTTCTGGCCTCCCACGATCGTCAGGAAAGTTGCCGCGCAAAACGGTTCCTTTGTCGAGACAAATCTACGAGTCTTAATTAATATCATGCACCTCCAGTACGGACCAACAGACGCGTAGCGAATTGGTGGACGAAAATACTCGTGGTCGTGGATAAATCGGCCGTCAAATTCGTATTAACTATCCGCTTGGAACTTGGCTCGCTCACAAACACTCGTAGAGATTCCATCTTTACTATTATCGAAGCCGGCGATTTTTGGAGCGGATCGTTTCGCGATTTCGAGCCGAATCACGAGAATGACCAACGACAAGTACATTCGTCTTCTAGAAGTCGAAACGCGATCGTTGCGATTCTCGGAACTTTGAGCGTTACTCGTAACGATGCATTACACACGGGATTTCGAGACATTTCAGCACACCTGGACAAGACGTTTGATCGGGCGCGTACGACGCGCGATGGAAGTAACCGGTGAAACCGTACGGTCAGTCAACGTTTTGTAGGTTGGCTCGATAAAAAAAGAACCGGGTTCAAGAAAGAGAAACGAAGGGAACAGAAGTAAAGAAAGAGAAGAAAGTGGGCCGAAGGGCTAGTTTCGGCCGCAGTCTGGCAGACAATCGTAAAAGCTGAACGATCCCCGCGCGAATTATAGACCACGCGGTTCTCTTGCGAGAATATGTCTATTCACGAGCGGCGTATAAGAACAACGGTCGCTTCTTTCGAAACGATAGCACGTCCAAATAAACGATATTTATAAATTACTCGCTTTTCGTCCTCCGTTGCTCCGGCATCCCTCCGTCGACAAAATCGATTTCGCGTTGCGGTTTTAGATACGTTTTAGGACGCTTGCTCCGTTTCACGAAACGGACCTTTTAAACAAACATTTTACGAGCTTTGTAGCAGTGTCCTCGTTTTCTAATCGTATTCGTTGATCATTCCGGTACATATCGGATTCGATCGCGAACAACGCAGCCAAGTCGAAGCGACAAAGTTGGTGCAACGATTAAATTAAGCGACGGATCACGCCGCCGTCCAGATCTCCGCGTTGCCAATTTCGAGTTCGGCGAGCCGCAACCGTGTCTTCCGTCCGTGCGACGCGCGACGGACAATGCCTGCTGCAATCCCGTCGCGATGTGAATTAATAACGTGCACCCGCTCGCATACGTTCTTGTCTCGTCGCGTTATCCAACCGTGCTGCTCGTTGTTGAACGTTAACGAGCGTCGTTGTAAATTATAGAGAACCGCTGTGCTTTCTTCCGAGACGCAACCAGAATCTTTTCTCCTACCAGTATTTTCCAAGAGAAACGCATTCGTTCGAGAGAATTCGTATTCGATTTTAAAAGCAATATCCTTTCCGACGTTAGAATATCAGCGCGTTATTAGCTTTTCGTTGTTTTGTTTTGTTGCCAGGTACATGAAATACCTGTATCCATACGAGTGCGAGAAGAAACGGCTGTCGACACCGACGGAATTACAGGCGGCGATCGACGGAAATCGACGAGAAGGACGACGAAGCAGTTACGGAGCGTACGCGGGCGGTGGCGGCGCGGCAGGTGAGAGCCTGGTGCAAAGGAATCCCCACACGCCGAACTCGCTCGCGTTGCACGCCCAAATGTCTCCGTTGTCGTTAGTGACGGCGGTGGCAGCCGGTGGTCAACATCACGGGCCACAATCTCTGGTGAACGGAAGCGCCGCGCACACGCCGTTACCCCACCATCCGCACCACCCGCAACACCCGCAAGGATCGCTTGGACAGCCACCAAACGCCGGTCAGTGGAAAACTCTTGCTTATGATAGTTCTCTCTTTCCGTTATGCGTACGCGTAATCGATATACGCGATTTCGTTTTTCGAAAGGTTTCGAATTTAAAACGTGAAAGATAAAAACGTGCAAGAAGGGATGAACATTGAAATAGACCGGAAACGAGAGAATCGGAGCAAAGAGCGACTAGGGTCCGGATGAAAAGTTAGCGGTACGTTAGGAGACAAATACGAACGAAGAAAAGAGAGAACCTCGGGAACGTAGTGGAAGAGCCACGAGTTTATTTTAAATCGGTAGTTAGGGTTCCAGGCCTCCCCGGAGATGATGATGCGAGAGCGAAGGAGGCGTAATTGATTGTACGATCCTCCGGGAGACAGGCGTTAACGGATGACTCTCGCTAACGAGCATTCCTACTTCCCTATCCCATTCTTCCTCCATCTCGCCCCTTTACCCACCACCGTCACCGCTATTGCTTCGCCCCTTTCGTCCTCTTTCGCCACCCTCTAACCAATTTCGTTGCCACGTTCTGGCACCCTTTCTCGTTCCTCGTTCGCACCGCCCCTCGAATTTGCGTTTGCGTCGAACATGTTCGATACCTTTCCCCTTTCCTATTTTCCCTCCTCGCTTTCGCGTTTTCCCTCCAACAAGCAATTTTTTTGGGAAAGATCGTAGGCCAAAACCGATAGGACCGTATTATAAATATTGCAACGACTATTAAGCATTAACGAAGACAATTTTCTTCGTAAAAATTAGCCGGTTATACGCGATTCACCCGACTAAGATAACCGATTGCAGGACCTATTCCCGGAATGGCGCCGTCCGAATTTGAAGCACGGATGGTCGAGTACGTAAAGTTGTTGAATAAGGAGCTAAGAAGCGCCGGGGCTGGCACACCACCGCCGATGATCCATCGACAAGGAAGCGCCTCGCCACCGTCCTCCACTCCACCCAGAGACGCGGGTTTCAGTGCCCTAGAAATGTCTAGACTGACCCTATGGAACATGTACAATAATAACACTTTGTATCCGGGTGTTGGTCACCAACCACCGTTGTCTCCTCAAGCCTCGCATTCGCCGGTACCTCCAGCTTCCAGTCCAGAACCTCAAAGAGAAGCTCTCGATCTCGGTCTCAGGTACGTAACGTGATTTTATAAAAAGGAACGCTTCGAGCTTTTTATACGATAATCTTATAGAGCAGAACATTATTTTCATACGGGACGTTCGCGAAACGACTTTGTTTCAGGTCCTCGCCGGTGTCTTCGTCGCCTGCCAGACAAAGCTCGCCTTCGTCGGGTGGTAGCGTGCAGGTGAAAAGAGATCCGGAAATGATCGGTACTCCTGGACCACCGCCAGCTAAACGATTACTTTCGGATGACGACAGCCCTATGGAAAAGAACGCCACCGCCTCTATAGGCACGCACATTAAAATCTCTAATCGAGGTGAAGAAAAGGATTTGATCTTTAACCGTTTTATCGTATACGATAATAAAAACAACTACATGCTACGATTTCCGATAACAGGGGACGGAAGAAACGGTGACAATTCCCTAGTAGTCAGTATGGAGTTGAACGGAGTGATGTACCAAGGTGTTCTTTTCGCCCAAAGCGATACCAGGACTACGGCCAGTACAGCGACAACTAATAACAATAGCAACAGCAATAATCACAGTAAAGCGTCGCGAAGCATGGTCTCGTGAATGACCAATTTCGAAACAAACCGCGCTCTCCCCACGATACATTATATTATAATTAATCATCATAGCGAAATCGGCCTCCCTTCCGACATTTTATATATATAAAGCATTTTAAATCAGCACCTGTACATTTCTTTTTATTGCGACTAATTAATCTCGATCGACGATCACCATCGGGACTTCTCTATCGCGATTATAGAGTAATTGTATCTAACACGCGTATCGTTCGACGCTAAAACGTTTATCCCGATAATGAGAAAACGAATAAGATGAATTTTTCGAACGCCGAGGAAAATCGAGAATGAAGTATCCTCTTAGTCATAGTCGTTAAAATGCGAAACATTAGCAAAAGACAAGATAATTAGTATATACATATAGTACTCGCGACGGTAAATGGTATATAAATAGCAAATTGGGAAGAATATTTGCAACCTACTTCTGATCTCGAAGAATTTAGATTGTCAGAAAGCGGATGAAACGCGACAGTTTCGATGATCTTTCGAATCCGCCAATCGACGAAGATACGCGTGATGGGGGATGAAATTGTTTTTATTGTTCATAGCTCGAAGGTTAGCCAAAAAGACTGTTACATAGGACGAATATTATATATTACGGTAGAAATAACTTCTTATTATTGGTTATTAAAGAACGATATTAACAACAGCAATAATCACAGTAAAGCGTCGCGAAGCATGGTCTCGTGAATGACCAATTTCGAAACAAACCGCGCTCTCCCCACGATACATTATATTATAATTAATCATCATAGCGAAATCGGCCTCCCTTCCGACATTTTATATATATAAAGCATTTTAAATCAGCACCTGTACATTTCTTTTTATTGCGACTAATTAATCTCGATCGACGATCACCATCGGGACTTCTCTATCGCGATTATAGAGTAATTGTATCTAACACGCGTATCGTTCGACGCTAAAACGTTTATCCCGATAATGAGAAAACGAATAAGATGAATTTTTCGAACGCCGAGGAAAATCGAGAATGAAGTATCCTCTTAGTCATAGTCGTTAAAATGCGAAACATTAGCAAAAGACAAGATAATTAGTATATACATATAGTACTCGCGACGGTAAATGGTATATAAATAGCAAATTGGGAAGAATATTTGCAACCTACTTCTGATCTCGAAGAATTTAGATTGTCAGAAAGCGGATGAAACGCGACAGTTTCGATGATCTTTCGAATCCGCCAATCGACGAAGATACGCGTGATGGGGGATGAAATTGTTTTTATTGTTCATAGCTCGAAGGTTAGCCAAAAAGACTGTTACATAGGACGAATATTATATATTACGGTAGAAATAACTTCTTATTATTGGTTATTAAAGAACGATATTAATGTCATCGTCAGTATATACATATATATATATATATATATATATATATATATATATATATATATATATATATATATATATATATATATATATATATATATATATATATATATATATATATATATATATATATATATATATATATATATATATATATATATATATATATATATATATATATATATATATATATATATATATATATATATATATATATATATATATATATATATATATATATATATATATATATATATATATATATATATATATATATATATATATATATATATATATATATATATATATATATATATATATATATATATATATATATATATATATATATATATATATATATATATATATATATATATATATATATATATATATATATATATATATATATATATATATATATATATATATATATATATATATATGTATATATATATATATGTGTCTGTGTGTGTATATATATATATGATATGACATGACTATATTACTGCTATTCCTATGATTACTATTAGTATTATCGCAGCTATTTACTATTATCACCTTGTTACGACGAGATATAGCGAGTAACGGTTCTAATAATCGTAAGGAAAAAAAGAAAAACGTTAAAAAAAAAAGGAATGAAAATTCAAGTGAAAGGATTCCCTGTCGGTCTCCCGTTTTCTCGCTAAGCTAAGCTCGTAAGTCGTTCTTAATCAGGACGTTTAAGGATAAAAGTAATTCCATGAAAATCTCCGGGAATTAACAACGTTTATACACAGTTTGCTTTTCAGTCAGCTGATCGATATTTTCTATGCGAGTGGTGCTAAGTTTGTTCTTTTTTTTCTTCTTTTCTTCCTTGATCGATCATGAAACGCAAAATTTATATGAGCAAAAATTTAGTAGAAAGAAGATATAGGTAACGTTATTATCAAAGATGTAACAAGTTATTAAATAAAATTCGGATTAGATTTTCGTCGCGTTCAATTGTAATTTTGGTAGCTTATGAGACAATCGATAATGTTTAGTGAATCACGCGTTAACATTACCATTGTAGGTATTAATAATTTCTTGATCAATACCGAAACAAAGGTGCACCACATTTACAAGCATAATATTGTAATAATTATTATAAATGTTGTATATATTAATACATGATATTATTGAAGAAAACACAAAACACGGAGACACGCGACTATTATAGTGTCCATAAGTAGCAATTTAGTTATCTGTAAATCCATGTAAACGAATTCACGAGTATCATAACGAATAAAATCGGCATTACTTTTATATCCATGGTCCTGCTACCTCGTTAAGGATCCATGTAACACGCACTATTTGATTTTTTATTTAAGCATCTCTTGTCGCAGTTGTAATAGTTATTGTTCAGTTTGCAACATTTTTATTTTCCAATTTGACCAAATGCTTTTGTAAGCCTTAAACTTTTATAATTTTCTATACACCTGATATATCCCTAACATAAATTCTCAAGTTTACCGATACCGGCTCTTTTATTTCTTTAAATACGTAATATTCAAACCTTAATTTATAACATCGCGTACATTACGATCAAATATTTCAATCTTCGATGATAAAATGTTTTTTTCTTCTGATGTCGCAAATGCATACTGCACAGACGACATACAGAGATTCACGAGATCTTTGCGCGACAGAGCAAACGTTGTACCAGCTATTTCGTATTCTCGCGATAAAGACGTACGAAAAACGCCTTTATCATCTGTCTGAAAAAAAGATCACAAAAGGCTGTACTTAAAGTACAACTTGCTTTATATATTAATCAAATGTGTAAACAAATAATGAAAACTTTACTCACACAAAGACAAACAGGATGTCCAGCTTCGTACAAATATTTGAACTGATGGAACGCATAAGATGGTACTGTTTTACACTGAACGTTTGATGTTAAACATAACTCTAAATAAAAGACAATCAAACATCGAATGTACGTAAGTTAACTAGTAAATGTTTAGAGCTCCATCATTCTTACCTACAGGAATTTTTGAATTAAGAAGCATATCGAACAGTCGAACTGATCCTTGTAAATCTGGATGAATACAAGTACAATGTCCTAATCTATCTGGCTTAAATTCAAGAATATCCACCGTTTCTGTTTCGTTTGAAATCTATACCAATAAAATGAATGGACATTGTTTTAGAAATTTCAGCAAATGGTATTTAAACGTTTGTAATAAATTTTACCTCTGCACAATGAGCCGAAACTTTTAAACCAGCTGTTCTAGCTTTTTCTAATAATTCTAAAAATGGATCACCTGTCATTGGATCTCCGCTAAGATCAAGTCCTACAATGTATCTGGGATATTTCTTAAAATACTCTATAGCCAATTCTACATTTTCTTTCGCAATTTCATACCCTTGTTTACGATTAACAGATATCAGTAACTTTACAAGTATGCTTGGAAAATCTACTTCGCATTTCCTTAAATTATAAGAGAACTCAAATTAAAATTTATTCCTTATGTTAATTTTTTAGAATCAAAATATCGTTACTAAATTATGTTTACCGAAATGCTTCTATAATAGATTCCACGTATTCTCGTTTTGTCATTTGCCCATTGATAGCACGAGGTGTACTTCTAAGTTCTAAATATATTACATTTTCTTCTTTGAATTCCTTAATCGTTTCATAAGTAGAACAAAACACAGCTTTCGGTGTTACTGTTAATGAATGTGCTATATCAAATACTTTAAAACACCTATAAAAAAAAATGATTATCTTTGATATAATGTAAGATAATATAATATATAAAAATAAATAAAATAAGACTTGAAAATATATCATCATACTCGCTTAATGATGAGAAATTATCAATATTCATAACTACATTTTTATCTTCTTCTAAATTAGGATTTTGCATTTTATATAATTTTTCTAAAGTATTTGTACTCATTGATCCATTCAGATGAGCATGAAGTTCCTGTTAGATGTATACAAAAGTCTTCATTTCTTTTTAATTATGTACATGTAAATAATTAAAAAGCTACATATGGTATATGTAAAAAGTTAAAAAATTCTGCATACCAGTTTTGGTAAGGACTGACAAAAAGCTTCTAAATTCATTGTTGAACAAAAAAGATTTTCAATGAAAATACTTCTTTAATTTAATTGTATCTACCACCTGTTTCAGACTGATTGCAGCACTAACAAAAATACATATATATATATATATATAGACCTAACCTAGAAATATGATAAGAAGGGATGAAGCTCGTAGCAATGACTAGTTATATCCTTAGTCAATGCTTGTTGCGAACTTCAAAATCTATTTATATTTTATATATCAGTCAATAACACATATACATACACGCGTATAAATTCATATAAGTATCCAATCAGATTATTATTATTACCAATAATTTATTTATTTTTACCAATTTAATAACATTAAAAAAATACAGAAATATAGATACAGCCTTTCAGATTATTTAATACATTTTTAAACAATGTAAAATGCATAATCTATACATAAGTGCATTGGTATTAAAATAATATTGAATACTTCAAGGTAATATGATAGTATCAGGCTTTTTATACATATAATTGACATATTGTTCTCTGTACAATAAAATTGAAAATATAGTATAAAAACATATATATTGTGGACATTTTTTTTCTTTTTTAAATATTAGCTATTACTCTCAATTGTTTGCAAAATACATTTTTTAATTTTTAACATTTTACATAACAAGGAAAGACACGGAAGTACCGCTCCTATCGTAATGAAACTTCGTACGTTTGTTATGCAAACAAAAAATAAGGGACACGTATTCATTTTGTTATCGGCTGATATGCAACTTTAAGGGATGGACCACCCTTCAAAGTAGCGACCTACAAATACTATCACGAAAACCAACGAAAATATACGAGAATCTCTTAACGGGAAAGTTTTATTGTCTTTTATGTACAGTAACAAGAAATCGACGCGATACTGTATCGAAACATATCGCAGTCAACGTCATTTATAAGCATGAGTGAGAGACAACTATTTTTATAACGTATAATTATCAACTATATTAAATTATTTTATCTCATTGTACAAAATACTTAATGTCGCGTTTCAGCCAATAAAAAAAAGTACGTATTCCTTATTTTTGCTTGTTGAACAAGAGTATAAAGTTTCATAAAAATGGGAGAGCGACACTTCCATGTTTTACCTTACCAATCATAAACAATAAAGCATATTAGATTCACTATTTTATCAAGAAACAAATATATAAGTTAAGTATTCAGATTTATGCCATCAATCAATTTTGGCCATCTTTATTATGTATCTGTGTTAGGAATGTTTTGTATATATGTTGTAACTAAATTTTTGTAACATTTACATAGCACGTTTAAATTTCAAATTTGGCATCAAAAATTTGTATAAGCTGCCAAAAACCGGCAAGAGTAATTTCAACAAAATACCAGTCTATTTTATATTTTGAGATTGAATACCATGCCCAGGAACTGTTCATAGTGAATTGTAATAACACCATCTAAATCTGTATCCAACTGTCTAAAAGCAGCAGTAAGAGTCTGAAAAATAATAGAAACACTTCAGCTTTTAAACTATAAACCATAGTTACATTAATATATAACAAATTACATGTAAATTCATACTTACATATAACACTACACAACACTGGATAAAATCATCAAAATATATAGTCCCATGCCCAGCTCTGTCGTATTTACGTATAAGAGTATTTATAATTTGATCTGATAATCGATATCCAAAATTTGTAAGAGCTGTTTTTAGTTCATCTCTATCAATATTTCCACTGTTATCTCGATCAAACGATCGGAAGCAATTTTGCCAATCTGTTACATATTTCCACAAGGCTCCAAACTCTTCAAAATTGACTGTTCCATTTTGATTTTTATCAAACATACCTGAAGAATCAGGATCATTTTTGTCAATGTCAAACATACCTGCATCAATAAAATGAACTAAACATGAATTATAAAAAATAAAGGACCATGCCAATCTACTAAAGAATTGTAAAAATGCACGCACATATCTACGAATAAGATCTTGCATTAATAAGCATATTTTCTTCTTCTTTGCAACTAAATAATATAATTTATTTTTATGTTTCAAATAATTTACATGGTCATTTAAAATCTACAAACAAAATAATTACCAATCATTAAACGAACAGTTTCCGGATTAAATGGTGTCCAAGTTCCATTTGAAAGAGCCTGCTGCAATTCATCTGCACTAATTGCCCCAGATCTATCTTTATCCACTCTAAAACACATAATTTGACAGATGTAAACATAAGTTCATATTTATGCTATTTTTAAACAAAGAATACTAAAGATTTGAGAAAATTCATCATTAATTAGGTGACGTATACTTAAAGATAACCAATACGATACAGCATATTTGTTAGAAAATTCTCGAATGCAAACGTCTACATGTGCACTACATTAATTACTATATTAATCACTATATTAATTATATTAATTACCTTTGAAATACATCCCACAAAAATTCACGACTTGGCATAGGTGATACAAAAGACATTTTCAAAGTTAATTGTCACGAAATACAAGATTAACAATAGCTGTTTTAACTGTGTAGATAGGTATATTATTTGATGTTACTTCGTAATCAAAGTATAAACACGATTCAATGAATAGAATGATTCAAATAAACGTTTTGCTAAAAGTTTCCTAGAAATGTAATCAATGTCACAGATACGTCACAGTTTGAGGAAACTTTAACTCGACCACGATCTACCAGATCTGACGTCTAGACAGAACGGTAAAATCCAACTTCTCTGAGGAAAATGGCAGCCAAGAAGAGCAAAACTCGTCACGCGCAATAAAATTGATACGCATTATATCTCGTTTACAACAGGCATTTTCAAACTGATAAATAATACAATTTTGCGCAAGTAAACGAAACTTTACGTTTCAAAAATGAAATACTAGCAATTAGGTCAGAAATTTTTCCTAACTAAATTTTATATCAATGTTTACATTTATAACGGAAGTACTACGATGATTTAATATTCCTGAAGGTATGACAGTAGATTATTATAAAGAAATAAATTTTCAAAGTTGAAAGCATTTTGGAAACCTCATTTTTACATGTATTTCAAAATTAATATTTTCACGCGCGCTATTCGAAAACATCATTGCTAATGCCATATAGCGGTCAAATGTAGAACTATCGAAATAAAAAAATTGTGTTTTTCTGAAAAGCCAAATTGATAACAATTTGACAAAGTTAAAACATTCTGAAGTTAATTAGTCTTGCACTCCGATATAATTTGACGCATATTGTAGTAAATTAAACCAATAAAATCAATGTTATTTGAAGTTTCACGAAAATGGAACAAGTGGCGCCATCTCTTTGGCGAACATGGTGAACTACACATTCTTAAAAATGCAGTTTCGTTAGTTCCTACACACTGCCGCTAGATGGCTCCACCTGTATCGTTTTCTGTTCACTTCAATTAATATGGTTGATTTTATTAGATTAGTGAATATAATATGAATCGAATTATATCAGAGAACAAGATCAATTAACTTCGAATTGTTTAGACTTTACCAAACTATTATCAATTTTTTACCATTCTTAGGTTAATTCTAATTAGTGTTTCTGCCTTATGTGACTCCATCTAGTGATACAAGGTAGGAACTAATTAAACTACAGTTTCAAAAGTGTGTAGTTCACCCTGTTCGTAGGAGAGATGGCGCCGCCTTTTTCATTTTTTAAATTGTATTAACATTGATTTTATTGATTAATATGCTATATATTTGTTCATATTGATTTCATGCTGTTTGCAATATATTTCGTGGATTCAAAGATGCAAATTATGTGTACAAGGCAGCTCGCACACTACACTGGGCCTCGTCGGTAATATAGAGAATAGCATTGGAATAGTACAAATTTTTCGTTCGAGTCGTCAAAAATCGTTTCCACAATTGTTGCTTTTCTCAGAAAGGAGCTTATTTGCAAAATTTGACGTGATTTAGAATAGGACGGTTTTCCGAAGAACAACCCCGCTATTATATTACAGCGCTTTTGGTGGTGGGAATTAAAATTATATCAAAGTGTTTGAAACTCTTAGCGATTTTGATTGATGTGGAGAAATGCAACACAAAGATATTACGGACGATCTATAATCCCTTCTTAAATTGTATAAAAAATTCTTTGTTTTAACAACTTATATGCAGATATTCAATATTTGTTTGATTACTTTTAGAATATATTATTCTACTCATTATTTTTACTTATTTTGAACGTTTTAAATAAACTGTTTGATATTTCAAAAAATGGTTGTAAAGTTTTGTAAATAATTGTTAGATAAGTTATTTAAATTTATTTTGAAAGGTATTATGTTTTGTATTCACATACATATAACATATATGTATGTATGTATTTCTTATATCATGTAAATATCACAAAATCCAATAATAGCACATTTATGTGTATACATATAAATGCATAAAGTACTGTCTTGATTTACCGTATCAAATAATATTTGGAATAAAAAACATGCCAAAGTTTACATTTCTTTGTTAGAATAATTAAATAGTATTACTAAAATAATAAATTTCAACTAAAAAGTAATTCGGTAAAAGTGTATACTTACGCACGAACCAATCCTTATCTTTGTAGTTTAATAAATACGTAACGTTCCCAACATTTTATATATGTATTCATTGGCGTAGCGTATTGTGGTATAGGACATGTCAAAAATTTGTGATGGCGACGATGTTAAAGGTTAGTTGTCATTAAATAATGAAATTTGTGTTTAATGTCAGTTTGTATTAAACAACACTTCACACACTAATTTTTAAACATTTTATACATTTCTGCTGCATTATTCTGTTTTCCTTAGTAATATATGAATTTTGATAACCTATACAATGTTTGAACTATCAGAAAACGTTTTAAAATTTACTGTACAAAAATATGTATACAATCTTGTATTAAATGTATATGAAAATATCCGTATAATAGTAATATCATTACAATTGATCAGTAATTAACATAAATTGTAGTTATATTTTTTAACAATTGCATACCAATTTTCATTGATATTCCTTTTTAAATTCATTGATGAACTGTTACCAAATAAAACTAATTGAATAAACAGTATTTTTTTTACATATTCTATTTATTTGTATTCAAGTACAAATAGATAATGTAAATATTATTTAATTATTTTCAATATTTTTAAAGTTATTGCAAAATCCAATGCCATATGATATGTTATTAGCAGCTGGTATAATTACTAATTCCTGGTATAATAAATAAAAATTTTACCAAATAAATGTGAAATCTAATTTATTTTATCTAGTATATTATATGTTTAGGATCAGAATCAAGTGACGTTTGAAGATAAATGGCCATGTATGCGACCAATTATTTTGAAACTAATCAAACAAGAACCTGTAACTCAAACAGAGTGGCAAGATTTGTTTTATTCTATTCATTTAGTATGTGTATGGGATGAAAAGGGTCCTCCTAAGTTAAGAGATGCGTTAAAAGAGAATATAATGGATTTTATAAAACAAGCTCAACAGGTAGAAAATCCTTTAATATATATTACTAAATATTGCTAATTATGGAAAAGAAAAATTCTTGCTTCATATACATTATAGAGAGTCTTGGCCCATCAAGAGGAACAAGCTTTGTTAAAAGCATATATAGCAGAATGGAGAAAGTTTTTTGCTCAGTGTAATTATTTACCAACACCGTTTAGACAATTAGAAACATCTCTTGCTGGAAAAACAACTTCCAGTGTTCAGAAAAAAAATCAGCCTGATGACATTGTCAGAAAAGTAAGAATTTTGTTGCAAATTCCTTAATGTATGATCTTGTAATGTGTTGCTCTTTTTATAGTTAATGTTAGATAGTTGGAATCAAAGTATATTTGGGGAAATAAAGCAAAGACTTCAAGATTCGGCTATGAGACTTGTTCGTGCTGAAAGAAATGGAGAAGCATTTGATTCACAGCTTGTTATAGGTGTTAGAGAATCTTATGGTAATAAATTTTTTAATGATATACAAAATATTTTAACATTTTATTAAACCTTTGGAATTATATTACAAATTACAGTAAATTTATGTTCAAACACAACGGATAAGCTTCAAATCTACAGAGATAATTTTGAAGCAGCATACATAGAAGCAACGGAAGCATTCTATTGGGTTAAAGCACCTGAACAATTATCGTTACATGGGGTAGAAAATTATATGCGTTATGCAGATGCAAAACTAAGGGAAGAAGAGCTTCGTGCTCAAAAATATTTAGAACCAAACAGTGCTAGTGTACAGCTTTTAACTGAGTGTTGTGTACGTGTATTAGTGGCAACTTTTAAACCAGCTATATTAGCAGAATGTCCAAGAATGATTCAACATTGTCAAACTGACAGTAAGCGTGTTTTTATTTGCATTATAATATTTTAATAATGCTTTTGTAACAATAACATTAAATAAATTATAATTATAGAACTTAGGCTAATGCTGAAACTAATGGATAGAGTACCCGAAGGGGTTGGTCCAATGTTAAGAAATTTAGAAGAACACATAGCAAGTGCAGGTTTAGCAGACATGATGTCAGTTGTAGATGTCATCACCCAAGATTCGGAAAAATATGTTGAAAGATTATTAGACCTTTTTCGTCGATTTTCCATTCTTGTTAAAGAAGCATTTGACGATGATCCTCGATTCTTAACCGCTCGAGATAAAGCCTACAAATTAGTTGTAAATGATGCAACGGTATTTAGGCTAGAATTACCTGCTCGTCAAAGTGCCGGTATTGGTACAACGATTTTGAATAACAAACCTAATAACAATAATAATGGTCAACCAGAATCAAAATGTCCAGAACTTCTTGCTAACTACTGTGATATGTTACTTAGGAAAACACCTCTCAGTAAAAAATTAACTTCGGATGAAATTGAAAGTAAATTAAAAGATGTAGTAAGTATATTTTTATTTACATCTTTAGTGTGTTTCTAACATTTAATTACTTTATTTCATATTTACCATGCATTAATTTCATTTTAGTTATTAGTATTAAAATACGTTCAAAATAAGGATGTATTTATGCGCTATCATAAAGCTCATTTAACAAGGCGCTTAATATTAGATACATCTGCGGATTCTGAAAAGGAAGAGAATATGGTAGAATGGCTTCGTGAAGTTGGAATGCCTGCTGATTATGTTAATAAATTAGCTCGAATGTTTCAAGATATTAAGGTATCGCAAGATCTCAATCAACAATTTAAAGAACAGTGTAGAGCTGCTATTGCAGATAGCATAAATATTAAGGTACTGGTTAATAACAACTAAAGTATGTAATGTCTATGTTATCAAATGTACATTGAAGTCAATCAAATATTCTACAGATATTAAATGCAGGCGCATGGGCTAGAGGCAGTGAACGTGTTACTGTAAGTTTACCACTACAATTAGAAGATTATATTCCTGAAGTAGAAGAATTTTATAGAAAAAAACACAGCGGAAGAAAATTACAGTGGTATCATCACATGTCAAATGGCACGGTAAGAAAGAAAATAAAATATTAAAATAAATGTTTATTATTCAGTTAAAATAAACGTTTATTCAAGTTCTTATGAGTTAAACAATGGATTTTTATTTAAAAACTATTGAAAATTTAATTGAAAACTGTCTTTTATTAAAACAGAACAAGATAAATTTTTCTGATGCAGTAAACGTGGGTACAGGGTAGAACTTTTCAAAAAATTCAGTATCTCGGTTCTAATTTTCAGCTTCACCTTGCAACCAATTTGGATGGTGTTGCAGATAACATTTTCCAACCAAGTGGGACGCTTCGATGTGGACGTAACAACTTTTCAAATGGCAGTTTTATTTGCTTGGAATCAACGTCCGTTTGAGAGGATATCATACGAAAATTTACGCTTGGCTACTGAACTTCCTGATCCTGAGCTAAGACGAACATTATGGTCCTTGTGTGCCTTTCCGAAACTCAAACGTCAACTTCTTTTAGTAGAACCTCATGCACACAGTCCAAAAGATTTTGCAAACGATACAAGGTTTTGGGTAAACCAAGAATTTGCTATTATGTTAGTAATATATTCTTAAATATTAAACGGCAATTGATTTATTACAAAAACAATAATTATACTTTGTTTTTCATCTTTAGAAAAAATGGAAAATTACAGAAACGGGGTAAAATTAATTTAATAGGTCGATTGCAATTGTCAACTGAGCGAAGTAAAGAAGAAGATAACCAATCTATTGTACAACTTAGAATATTAAGGGTTCAGGTATGTCTTTCATCAGAATAAATAATTCTCTTTTTTACTATTAAGTAATAATTCTAATTTAAATATTTCTTTTTCAATAGGAAGCAATTATCAAGATATTAAAAATGCGCAAGAAGATTAACAATGCTCAGTTACAAACTGAATTAATTGATATATTAAAGAATATGTTTCTACCAAGTAAAAAGATGATAAAGGAACAAATCGAATGGCTCATCGAGCATAAATACATACGCAGACACGACGATGATATTAATACATTTGTGTATATGGCATAAGTCAAGATTATACATACATATACTGTTCAAATTCTTATAATTAATATTATATTTTTATAAAAATTCAGTTCTTGTTTATGAAAGTGTATGCTCAAAGATCCTAATATAATTGAAAAATATTAATGTTGTTTGCAACATGTTCGTGTTCATGTTTGCAACATGAACAACATTTAACTAAAAAAAATTAATACTGACATACAGAGTCATATCGTTTATAAATTTACGATTAAATATAGTACAGTCACTGATTAGGATATTATGCATTGTTAAGTAAACATATAACTGTAATATTTCAGTGCATTCAACGACAAAATTTATTATAAACTTTTTTATAAGAAACTGCAAGACCTACGGAGAAACGTACACATTTTTAAACCTTTTGCGTGGATATATTTCGACATCAATAATTTACACTTTCAGAAGATTGTACTACTTCCTTTATAAGTAACTTAATTTCGTTAATAACAAATAGATTAATGTTTTTCTGAAACTTCTGTGATTTTAAGATAATTCAATAGTTTTATCCAATTAAAATAATTAACACAGAAAACTATATCAAATGTTCAAAAAAGTTATAAAAGCTCTAAAAAGTTTGGCATGAGTTTAGATCAAAATTTTCGCAAATCTTATATTTGTTGAATAATTACATACATACATGTACATATGTACTGTATGTATGTATATTACATAATTGATGTATCCAACATAAACGGTGTAAACGCGTGAGTATGTTCATTTCTTGTATATGTACATATTTTTCAAGTGTAGCTAATTTTTATTAACTTTGGATTGCAGAAAATTTACAAGCTATTGTTCTTTTTGCACTGTGTTTTATATTAATTATATCACAACTCTTAAATTTAAATAAATGTATATTTTTAATTGCAAAGATTAGAATTTGAGGAAAATGCAATGGGAGGATTATATCAAATGGCCTATAACATGTAAATGTACCATTAAAAAAAAACCATATTCATTTTATTAAATTAAAAAAACAATGTATAATCTCTGTACTGAAAAGGTTTCATACAATTATGTATGTCATGAATCATAAACTCGTGACTTAATACTATTATTACCGTCTGTGTGTATAAAGCTTTTATATTATTTCAGTAAGCTAATAATAAGTGTAAAAGCGAACAATTTCAGAATTAAAAGGACAATTTTTTATAATTTTCGATGCATCTTATTATATTTTTCCCAGAAATAGTTTTATGAGAAACATTCCATTAAAATGAACGATTTTTCATTAATATCACTCTTTCAAACATTACTATACAATAATTTCAAGATAAGCTTTACCATATTTTATTTTGTTTGCGTAACATTCACTCACAAAAGGCAAACTTTGAATAACATATTTATTCACACAAAAGTAATTTATTATAACATATTTATAAATTTTCAACAGTTCTATGTTAGATTCTACACTAGATTAAATTTTACATCAATATGAAACACATTTCATGTGAGTAAGAACATTATATACATTTACGTACACGTATATGTAAATATTACTGTTACAGTAGAGTAGTAACACTAATACACTGTGAACAATATGCAGTACTTGTAATTACAATCAATGTTTTCCAAATGAAATAACATTATTAAATGTTTATTTACCATTGTGTATATTTTGCAAAAATTTATAATATTAAAAAAGAAAAGCAAAATTATTAATTTTTCAACTCTAATATTAATTAATTAAACTATAATCGAGAGTAGTTACAATGGTAATTTTTGTTTACGTGTTACACTTTCATATTAACATATATGTATGTACATTAAATATACATCAAGGTTTATAATTGCCCTTAAATTTAGCGCACATATACCTATTTGCTTATAAATCTGTATTTTCAAGTTAATTGTTCCTTAAATTTCAAAATAATCATTAGACCGAGAAATTAATTCTATTTATTTCTTCTACAATCGTACAATTCATTTATTTTCTTTAAGAGCATTTGACATCAATTTGAAATAGATTCAATATTGCTAACTTCAATACCTTTTATTCTTGACACTTTATTGTTAATTTTATTAATTTTCAAATGTCGAATAAGCATCTAATATTTTCGATCACATTTTCAAATCGAAAAAATATTGAAATCACTATAAAGTTTATGAAACTATTCTGAAATTATTTTTCTAATATTTTATTTGTACATTATTTAGTATTCGATGATTTTTACGTTATGTCAAGTTATATCACGTTTTTGACAATATATTTTTATTTGCAATACCAGCATGAGATAACATTATTCATCTGAAAACAAATATAATTTTTTTACAAGGTCTGTGTTACAACTATGTCTATTTTATTATTTTAATATAATACTCACATATATTTGTATTTGAGCAAAAAACATTTACAAATCATTTCCTGTGATAATTGTTATCACAAATTAATGAAATATCAATTTTGCAATATGACAATAACAAATTTTTAAATGTTGAATATCATTGTCTGTAATGCATCTAATTGCTTGCTGGATGGATAAATAATTCATTGTCATAGGATGGCAATATTTCTAGTAAAATTGCTTATGAATGTTCTGGACAACGCGTGTGTTGAATACGTGGAACATTTTTCATAGGATTTGTTGTTTCACAAACATGAACTACTATACCTGGTTGTCCCGAACCTCCAGGATGTAATTCATGACTGCCTCCTGCAAAATTACTTATATAATTTACATAATATTAAACATGGAAGAAATACATCATGAATTGTTTAATCAAAACCTGCAGATAAATTGGCTATAGCTGCTAATAAATCATGATTAACTAAAGGTTCATTCTCTTCTTTAGGTTCCCATCCAATAGGTGGTGAAGCAGGTGGCGAAATTAGGAACTGTTTAGTAAGAGCTGGTGGTTGAAGATGTTGATCTTCTATATCTGTAAATTGTATTATTTTTAATCGCTAATAGAATTATATTAGACTTGTAACTTTGTCATATAAAATCTGTTCTTACAAACCTATTGGAGTAACAGGTTGTGCAAAATAACAATTGATATTGGTCTCACCAAAGTGAGTTTGATGTAGCTGTATTCTGGCATTTGCTGCTGCATTTGGAGAACTATAATTTACTCTCATTCTTCTAAATGATCTAAAATATTGAAATGTAGCATCTTCTCCAAATTTTTTAAAGAGATTCTCTATTTCTTGCTATAAAAATAAAAGAAATATTGAAAGGAATATATCTACGTTTGTTATGTTCACTTTTACCATATCTTTTTGTCACCTTTAATTCATCGCTTTTGAAAACCCGAGGATCAACATTGGTAACAATGACTGAAGTGGGCAAATCTTCATCGTGCACTAAATCTTCGACAGACCTTGTACTTATATCATTATGATCTTTCTGCACATCAAACTCAAATCCTAATTGTTGGTAATTAGGATGTAAATTTGGTAACCCATCAACTTCGTTTATTATTATATTTTCTGATTCTTCTAATTCCTCATCCTCCACTATGTTTGAATCATGTTTTTCTTCCATGCTTACTTTTTGCAATGTATAAAAACATTAAATTATAGCATTTAAGTATGTAAAAGGCACAGTTTTTAAAAAGAAAGGTAAAAATGAAATTGTTTTGTTTCCAAATCAATAATATGTAGCCTCAAATTATATATATTTTTCAAATAAAACAAAATACGCAGCATGAAATTATTGAAAGTACATACAAACAAATATAACTGGGTTACTCATGATTAAAAATTCATTGCTGTAAGTACTTTGAAAAGACTTCTTTAATTTATTTTAAAATTTTTTTAACCATGACAAGAAACTGCAATGTTTTATTACAAATGTAATCTTATTTTTCAAGCTAATAGTGATCATCGCTCATGCTAGCATTGTCAATTAATATCTGTTTATTATTGGAAGTTAAATGATAATTAAATATTAGTTAAAATAACATAATATAGCATTTATATAGTTGTTTGTAGATATATACTAGAATACAATCGTATCATAATACTTTTTTATTTAAAAAAATGTCACGTCCTCATTACAAAATATATATTATGTTATTGTCAACAATGAATTTTATAAACTATAAATCATTAAAAATGATTCCATTAATTCATCAAAATCCATGTGTATTTACGAAACACATATTAACCTTATTTACCAACTATAAATCTATTTGTCACTGTTTTGATTTTCATCGAATAATTACAATTACTACTACACCAACGACATGCATAATATTTAATGAGAAAGTAATTAATCAGCTGACCGAACACAGATAATACTTGCCTAACTTTTCTTAAGCGGCTAAATTGAATGTATAACACCTTTCTTTTCTTAATACTTATCCGTATCGAGAATAATTTCTTTACTTATTTACTTATTTATTTACGTACTTATCTATTTACGTATAACATTTGTCATTGTATTAACGTAATCTTCACCATTTATTCCTCTTTCGATATTGCACACTGTATTTACTATTTTATTATTATTGTAGTGCAATCTTTCACAACCGTAGACTGTATGAAGTAACTAGAAAGATAACGAATCAGTTTTATATCATATAATAAATGTGCAATGTTTTCAGAGCAATATCATGTTTTGAACAATATAACTGTAAATTAATAGAAAAACAATATAGTACTCATTAAATTTTTTAAGAATATAGGAACCATCTGAAACTTCATTTATGCCAATCTTCTTATCGAGCTACCTTTCTATACATTCATACAAAACCTGTATATACGTACGTGTACATACTATGTATGTAACATAAATGCACGTAAATGCGTCATATGTGTGTATTGTGTGTATTGTGTGTATATCACGAATAACAGTAAGCAACAAATAATAATGTCGATGATGGAAGGTTCACTTAGCAAATGGACAAACGTTGTTAACGGATGGCAATATCGCTGGTTTGTTTTGGACGATAATGCTGGGCTTTTGTCATATTACACGGTAACAATTGTCAAATAGTATAATTATATTTAATATTCACTTACGGTGTGTCATTAATAGGTTACATCTTACGTTCTATTTAAAAATTTAATTAATCCTTACTCGAGTCAATAGCTACAGTTTAGCATACATTCTTTATAATGTTCATAATTGATTTATTTGTAAATTATTTTTTGTACATTATTTATATTTCTCAGATGTATCTTATATAATATGTATTAAGTGTATCTTATCAGATGCATCTGTCATAGTCAGCTGATATCTACATTTTAAAGTACCCAGTTCTATTTAAAGAAATCATTACGAGTTTTATATTACAAATATAAACTGTGGTTTAAGGAAAGATCTATTAGTATTTTCAAGATGCATCGTTTATGTCATAACTATCACTCGTTGAAATAAAAATCTATGCCTGGTATTTATATTTTATTATGGGAGATACATTAACATTGAAATAATATCTTAATTTGGTATCATTTATATTTTAGAGTAAAGAGAAAATGATGAGAGGAGCACGTAGAGGATGTGTTCGTTTAAGAGGTGCTATCATAGGTATTGATGATGAAGACGATAGTACATTTACAATTACTACATCATCGTACAAAGATGATCCAAAAACATTTCATTTTCAAACAAGGAATGCAGAAGAACGAGAACGGTGGATTCGTGCTTTAGAAGATACTATATTACGGCATTCACATGCTGTACAATTATTTATTTATAAGATTTCCTTTATATTTATGTAATAATTGTAAAATAATATTCATACCATTGTTTTAGAGATGGGATCCTAAAAAGTCTCCTCCTAAGCAAGACTTTGATCGCAAAGTTGCAGAAGCAGATGCATATCTACAATTATTGATAGATCAAATAAAATTAATTGAAACAAAACAAAGAAATGTTGCAGCGGAAGATGAAGAAACACAACAAAAGTATGGAGCAATTTTAACACAAGCAAATGCAATGCTTAATTCTGTAAAACATACAATTGTACAATTGCAAATTGCAAAGGTAAAAATACATGGAATATACAAATACAAATACAATGAAATAAATGCTTATTCCACTTAACTGAAGTGACCATAATGAATTATAATAATTTTAGAATACAGCTATACCTGTAAATGGAATATATAGGGGACCAACAGATCCAATACACGTTTCATTGCCTCTATCTCATAGTAAGTGTTTAAATGTATAAGTATAAAGTAACTAGTAAACATATTTTTAGTAGGAGGTTTCTAATATAATAAGCTTTAGTTGCTGCTAGAGAACCAGAGACAGCTGTACAAACTGGAATTGAATTAGGTTCTGAATGTATAGAACCAAGAGTACCTATATTATCAAATGGTAATTTGTTTGTCACTATTTACATATACCAATTTAGAAATGAATATGAGATATATGTGTTAAAATATATTTTAAAAAATAAACGTATAAATTTAACAGAGAAGATGGAGCAAAATATACGTTGATATCTTTTACTTATAAAGCTGTTGTAGATAGGGATCTCCCTGTACCACAGTTCTCTTATTCATCTTCGGATGAAGATGAGGATTATTATGATGCAGCAGATGAAATATCTCCTCCTTCTGTAGTACAAAATCATATCACCGTGTAAGTATTTATCAAGCGTTATAAGATTTAAAATTCAAAAATTGATAATGATTAATTAATTTAGTAAAAGACGAGACAGCGAACGCTCGCAGTCGCACATGGACGTTACTTCAAACGAAAATCGAAAACAACCACCATTGCCTCCTACGAAAGGCGATGGATCAGTTGATTATGATGGTAAGTAGATTAAAGATTTACTTAGATGTCTAAAAGTTACGAGTTTTTATACTATTTCCCTCTGTATTGATTTTCATTTAAAATACATTGTTTACTTTCCATATTTATTTAATGCATATTAGCATGTAGCAGATGTTTGTAATTTAAAATTAAGTAAGGCATTTAAATACAAAATTTGAAAGTTAAAAAAAGATAAGTATATAAATATTTATATACAATGTAACATTAAGTAAACATAATCATATAAAATAATTGAATAATGCAAGTATTGGAAGTTGTTAATAAAATAACATACATTCGTTATTATCGATAATGCAGATTTGTACCAGTCGACTTTATCCACAGCTACAATTATTGATTTTAAAGAGTATCCTGCATGACACGTGAATTATCGTGTTGTCGTAACATTGCCGTAAAGTAGTTGCTAAATTTATATTCTAAATCAAACGTGAACGTTCGGTAGTATGTCTAATTTAGAAAAAGAAAGATTTAAACAAATACTCATACTTTTTCCTATTCTGAGAATTTTATTTCTTAGAAAAAGACATTTATGTTGTGTATAGTTTGATTTGATACTATGAGAATATTTAGGAATGGATATTAGCTGGTATTTCTTAAAAAGACAATATGCTGGGTGCAGATTCAAATAGTAAGTGTTTTTATAATAGTAGAGTACTCTTAATAAGTATTGTAAATTTAGAGAATTTCTCAAAATTTGTATATGTTTCATCAAATTTTGTAATAAATAAATGATTCTTTTAAATATTACAATTTTTCTTATCAGATATATAAATATATTCATAACTATTATTAATCTGAAGAAAAAATATAATATAAATTATGGTAATAATTATTTTCTTTGTTTTACTGTCACAAAACTATATTGTATGTTGCAGCCCTTTACGAAGAGGAAAGCGAAACAGAAAGTTAGTAATCATTGTACTAATAAATTTCTAAATTTCTAAATTAATTAATTATACATTGCTTTTTAGTGGATTCCATGGAATCTCATGGATCTGTTGTAACTCATCTTTTATCGCAAGTAAAAATTGGTATGGATCTAACGAAGGTAGCATTGCCTACATTTATTTTGGAGCGCAGGTCACTCCTTGAAATGTATGCTGATTACTTTACTCATCCAGATCAGTTCGTAAGGTATTTTATCAAATAGATAGTTGTTAAAAATTATTAGATTTATCAAAACTTTTACTATATTATAATACATATTTTAGAATAGCGGATATGCCTTCCGCCAAAGATAGAATGATACAAGTAGTTCGATGGTATTTATGTAGTTTCCATGCTGGTCGAAAATCAGGAGTAGCAAAAAAACCATATAATCCCATATTAGGTGAAATTTTTCGGTGTCATTGGGATATACCTAATGATAATGTAGATAGTTCAATTGATTCAAATTTAGTTAATGAGGGTCCTGTACCATGGTGTAAAGAGAACCAGCTCTCATTCATTGCTGAACAGGTTTCTCATCATCCCCCTAGTAAGTACTTAATTTATAAAATACTTTACAGATTTTTTAAATAAAATATTATCATTTATATTACAGTAAGTGCATTTTATGCTGAACATTATGCAAAAAAAATTAGTTTTGGAGCACATGTTTGGACAAAGAGTAAATTCCTTGGTCTCAGTATAGGAGTACATAATGTTGGAAAGGGTTGGGTAAATGTGTTAGAACATGGTGAAGAATATGTATTAACTTTTCCAAATGGTTATGGTAGATCTATCCTTACTGTACCTTGGATAGAATTAGGAGGAACTGCAACTATACATTGCACACAAACTGGATTTCATGCAACTGTGGAATTTTTAACGAAACCTTTTTATGGTGGTAAGCGTAATCGGATCACGTGTCAAATTACTCAGCCAGGAGATAAAAAACCATTCCTTATCATAAATGGAGAATGGAGTGGAGCTATGGAAGCAAAATGGGCCGATGGAGTAAGCATGAAAAATACGAATGCGTTGTAATTACATCTGTGATATATATTAATGTAAATTTTATTTTTATAGAGAACTGAAATGTTTGCGGATGTTAAAGAACTGCATACTCAAAGAAAATTAGTAAAGCCAGTTTGTGAACAAGAAGAACATGAATCGCGAAAAGTTTGGCGTGATGTAACCGTAGGATTAAGAATTAACGATATGGAAAAGGCAACTGCAGCTAAATGCACAATTGAGCAAAAACAGCGAGACGAAGCACGTATAAGAAAAGAACATAATATCAATTGGCAAACAAAGGTATATTTTCTTTCAGTTCTACATGTCTCTATTTTTGTGTATTTTACATATAATACTTTTTTTAATTTAATAGCTATTTAAAGAAACCAAAGATGGTGGCTGGATTTACATAAAACCTCTTGCAGATAGATTACATTCTTGTTCTAACCAAGTGAGTGCAGTATGAATTTATAAAATATTTTATCGAAGTTTTATGTATTGCACAGTAGAGATTTAAGGCCTAATACATATGATCTATACCATATACACATATATATAATTTTTAAGTCTAATGACTCTGTGCTATGAAAACAAAATAACTATTATCACAAATTCTTTTTTACTTCTTCTTCTTATTACTTCTTTTTCACATAAACCTGGTTAAGTACAATAGCAAACAATAAAATGGCAAGCATAGCATAACATTTTGTTCAAAAATATACAAGTATTTTAATAGTAGGTAAATTATTTTTTTAAAATGTTGCCTACTGATAGCTACTATATATTAAAGAAGAAACAGATTCCAATAGTATTGTGCCATGTATTATATGTAGACATTAACGTACAAGCTAATATACTATTAAGATAAATATATAGATACAGAAATAATATTCATGACACTAAAATCTTTGGTATCACAAAATTAAAACACAACTTAATATAAATATAAAGCAAATTTAATTAAATACTGGTTACATTAAATGTAGAGTATATTTTTTTATGTGTTTAATTTTTTTGTTACAGTAAATACTTTTAAATACTTTCACTGAAAAAAAAACTTTCTATTATACAATTATAAAAAAAATTCATTCCAAAATTATTATAAATTATAGTTATAGTCCTTTTAAAAAATTATTTAATTTTAGAATGACGATCTCTAAAATAATTTAACTAACAAATATACAATAATTGTATCCATCATTGTAAAAATAATATAGGATATGTACATTACATATATATGTACATAACTATATTTTTTTAAATTGTATTAGATATAAACGAATTGAATTTACACAATGTAAATAGTTCTAAATAATTTCCAAAATATTTTTTTGTATAAATTTTGTTCGTGTCTATTCATAGTTTATTTAAACAAAAAGTATTACATCTTCATGAGATTAATTAAATCTAATAGTACCTAATATGTTTACACGAATACAAATAAAATCGGTATTTATAATTTTTTATTTAAATTTTATTACAAAGGATACTAATAAATAATCATTATTGTAAAATACTCCCATGCAGCAAAAAATGTAATATACTAATAAATATGTAAATTTCTGATAAAATAAAATTTATTTGTGCATCTGAATATATACACCTTTAGTTTAAATTACAGTTGTAGAACAATTTGCGCTTTCACTTCGAAATAAACATAAATCATTTGTACTAAAATTAGAAAAGTAAAGATAATATTTCATAAGTAAAAATCAAGAAAAATTAAATTTTATTTATGGTTATCCAAACATATGTGTCCAATATAATAATCGGATACTGTTCTATGAGGTTGTGGAAATCGGTTTGTTGATGTTAATAAATGCTCTAAACCTGATTTTATTACTAAATATCCCACTTCACAATATGTTTTATTTACAAAATCTATTGCGCTTTTACTAATATCATATTTGTACAACACTTTGACAACAGATATGTTTTGCAAGCTTACAACATGATTATTTGATATTGTTTTAGATTCAGTTATTAAATTTAGGTGCCAATCCATTGGTTTTAGTATAAGAGAATGAATTTTTTTTCCAACAAAAGATTGCAAAGTAATTTCCTCACCAAACACACCAGTCATTGTAATTTTAATAGCTATTAAAAAATCAATAAAAGGATCCGTTGTTAAGGGCCTTTCTATCTTAGAGTGAGCTACAAAATTGTAATCAACAGAACAACTCCATAATTTAAAGGTACTATTTGTATAAATTTTACCTATGTACTGTAAGCATCTATTACAAAAAACGGTATTCTCCTCTATTTTTAAATTGTTAAATAAACTTTTACAAACAATAATGAAAAGAGATCCATAAAAAATATCCGATTCCAATGGTATTAAATTTTGACTAACAGAAATATAATTATGTTTACAACAAAACCAATCATTTAAATCATAGTTCATATCTGGTATAGGTAATACTCTTTTAATAAATATTCTTCTAGAAAGAATGTTTTTGCAGCATGCGCATAATATGTTACAATTATGATTCTTCAATACTTTTATGTTTTCTATAGAATCTCTTAAAACAGTAATGTTCGGTGTTAAATTAGTAACCATTTCAGTTTGAAAACAGCCAAAAGCAGAATCAGACTTTATTTGTGTTCGAAAACAGATCCAATTATTTGTTATATTTAATGCTGATAATGAATGTGGTATTAATTTTAAACATTTTGTTAAAAGTTTTATTATATTATCATCTATTGTTATTTCTATACTTTCTTCTAAAAGTTTTATTCTAATTTTCATTAAATTTATTTCATTTTGTAAACAAATAAAAGTATTACATATCTGAAGCCTTGGTCGTAATTCCAATGTAATACTTTTTATCATAGTAAATAATAACAATGTTAAAAAACTGTTACTAATTATGTTCTGTTATGCTTCAAGTTCAGACAAATTTATGCAACTTGAAGATTCTTCAAAAGATTGATTAGTAAACATATCATGGTGGATCTAAAATATACAATTTTTAAATATACTTATTAATTACTTATATTCATAATTTACATAGCTCAGTGTCAAAAAAGATACCCATGATCTTACCTTCAAAATTGTAAATTTAGTATATAACTAATAACATTCAATCTAAATTAAATAAGTTGTAAATGTAACTTTTGTAAATGTAACTCCTTGCATAGCAAATTTATTCTGTACATTTTCCAATATTATATTCCATATATGTTCCTAAAAAATTATTTTACATAAATTAATAATAGGATATCGTAAAATTACATAAAATTTTATTTATAATCATACAGAATTTTAAATCAAAAATGTAAATACCCACATACCTCTGCTTTATTTTACCATGGTTTATATATCTCATGGATCATAACATAAAAATTTACATTGAGTGACTAGTCTATTCTATATTTGGTCTGTGATTGTCTGCGCATAATGCAGGATTTAGATTGGTCGGATAAAAGAGCGAATAGAGTACGTATAAGAAGCAAGGAAGATAGCAGATATCTATCTTTTCTCACGCTAGAGCTGCACGACTATATTCTTCATCCTGCATATAAACCGCAGATTAAACAGAATCATAAAGAAAAATCCTGAACTACAGTGTAACCTAATATTTATTGCGCATCGAAAAGTTATAATTACTGTTTAAACATGGTTATTTTGTCGAGAATTTTACCTCATAAAGTATTATCAAATTTTTATTGTAAAGTACTAAGTAAGTTTCATTGTATTTTTATAAGCACTGTATATTTACAATTTCTGATAGTTTTATATATTGTTTACATTACCTATTGTACCAATATTATGTTTATATAATTGTAGCTTACTTTGATATATAGAACACGGTTATCTTAATTATCTGTTTATGTAGATACTATTATATTATTTTTAGGTAAAGATGTAAAATTTTTCTCAACCATGGCACAAACAAAACATGAAAATGAACATGACAATGATAATTTTAACAAAGAAACTGTTAAAAAATCCATAGATTCAACAACTTTTACAAATTATAGATTCCTTTATCCAGAATTTTTACCATGTCCAAATCCTTTATATCGTAATAGTCTAAGAGAAAAATTAGAACGTATAGATATGTTAGCTAGAAGATCCGTAGTAACTATTCCTGAATTTTATGTTGGATCTATATTAGCAGTTACTTATTCCGAGCCACATGCAACTGGAAAAGTAAATAGATTTGTTGGTATATGTATTTTAAGAGAAGGTGCTGGATTACGTGCTTCATTTATTTTAAGAAATGTAGTAAATGGGGAAGGTGTAGAGGTACGTTATAATTTATATGATCCTGCTATTCAGAAAGTTGATTGTTTGAAGTAAGTATAAATTTATATAAATTTGATTTAAATATAGTTTAAATGAAAAGTATTAAACATTATAATATTTATAGATTAGAGAAAAGATTGGATAATGAATTACTTTACCTCAGAGATGCACCATTAGAATATAGTACATTTCCATTTGACATGGAACCAGAATTAATTTCTCAAGAATCTATTCCAGTGAATAAAATTAAGGTCCCACTTAAGCCACAACCATGGTCAGAAAAGTGGGAACTTAAAAATTTGAATGGAGTTACAGGTGTTGTTGTTAGCGAAAAACGTCAAAGAAAGGCAGCAGCTTCTGCTAAACCATGGGAGAAATACGACTTAATGAAAATTTATAGGTAAATTTCATTAAACTTATATTATAAGTTTACTTATATATTTACTTATACATTAACACTTCTTATTTACTATTTTCGAGCATATTTATTTAAACATCCATTTTTTAATATTTTATTAGGGAGACTATTCCGGAAGAAGAACAAGTTGAAATATTTTCAGATTTACACAAAGACCTTCGTCAGCTGGACGTAAGAAAGGATATATTAAAACGTCAGCGGGTACTACACAGGCCAAAGAAATCTGTATAAATTTAATTCTAAGTATTGTAAGATTTATTGTTCCCAATTATATATATTTTGTATATTAAGAAATTATTTTAAGTTTTCTTCAAATATCTTCTACAAACTGTAAAAATATAAATAATTTAAACATTTAATTTACAAGAATATATAATATAATTTTACTATAAATAGAATTACATTTAAAGGTGTTTCCTACTATATTAACATTGATTTGTTTTATGCAATACATACAATTAAAAACTTTCAATAATGATAAATTTCTTTGTTTTATTAGGAAGTGAAAAATATACAATAGATATTATAAAATTTTCATGACTACATCATTTTTAAAACATTTTTATCTGATGTATGAGGGAACAATTATTTTTTTTTATATTAAGTTGTCCAAATTAACAGAGAGAAGATAAATACGTGAATACGAAATTAACTAGTTAATAATGCCACATTAATTTCTTTAACCATTTTAATACGATATAACATTTTTATAAGATGTTCTTTAGCCAGTGGAGATGTCGAATACCATACTGGACTGTCTGGTACACAACTTCTTTCAGGTAGTAAATAAAACACATCATTTCGAGTTTTAACACTTTCAGGACTAAAAAAATCATATAAATACTTTAGAATCTTATAATTTTGTATGTAGATTTTTTTAAATAAATAAACTTACCATTTAGATAAATAGAATTCGTATAATTTTACTGGACATCTCAAAGGATTTTCTTCATTTTCTTGTTGTTCATATACCTTTTTCTTACGTGAATTGCCTTCTAAAGAAATTAAAAAAGAGTTTATTATTTTGCAATGCTTTCAATATACAGATTACCAAATACTAACCTAATGCTGATTGGGGTGGATAAAAACGAAGAAGAACATTCCTAGAACCCGGAACTTTTCCTGTTGTTGCAGCCGGTTGTGCAGCAGGATTACGTTTCCAATGTTTCATAATATGAGAAAATGATAACTGCATATGCTCTTCGACTGTCTAAAAAATTTGATGTATGTGTTCAGTTGCATAATTATCGTTTTTTTTTTCATACAATATTCCTAATAACTTGTATACAAATATTAACATTGAAATAAAACTAAACGGATACATACCACAAGATTAAAATGTTTCGTGTTAAAAAACATTAGAGTACTTAAAAGTACATGTGGAGAATGAGCGCCTAATTGTTTGCACTCCCATAAATGTTCTTCTTCAACCCTTGTAACAATGTATTCTACAAAGAATAATAAATACTTTACTTTAGTAACTTTTCTAAATCGAGTTTAAAAAAAACTTACGTGCATCGTTATAAAGAACGGAAAACTTTTTTGCAACTTCATTCAGAGAATCCGTAAATTTCTCATAATATGAATCTGTGAAAATATTATCTATTCTATTATTTTCAAATAAATACTGCTGTATTCCTGCAACATAAAATTGTAGTAATAGTATATACTAAAATCTTTTTGATCGATAAAAAGTAACTTGTTAATTTTTAATTTAAGAATTAATGCTTTTACCTAAACAAAGATAATATATTGTGTCAGGAGCATACTCTGCTCCATTTGGTTTTCTAACTTCTTTTACAAAAAGACACAATGAATAATTTAATTCATCCGCTGTGAGTTGCAAAAGATCTGTTTTGAATAATTTCATTTTCCTTAATGGTGTACTTTGCTTTTCTAGTTCAGCATTTTTTGTAACTACCTATTTTTAGTGAAATAATTTTTAATATTTGTTTTTATGTTAAGAATATGAAATTATAATATGCAGAAGTTACCCATTGCCTCCATGCATTTACTCCAAAGGTATATTTAAGTGCCATATTCGCATCTGGCTTTTCTATAGGTTCTATAACACGTGGTTGAGGTGGAGGTTGAACTTCAGGAGGAGGCATCAAAGGTATATCGTTTGCTCCAGAAGCACGTCTTCCCCTTTTGTTTGGAGTAGATCGTGGCTTATACGGGACCATTCGTTTTCTTCCGCGGGAAGAAATAATTAGCCGCTCTGATTGAACTAAAGATTAAACAAAAATTTAATTACTATAGAATATTTAAACTAATATACAGTATAAATTTGTTGTTGTTACCATCATTTTCTATAGTTGTATCAGCTTGTGCTGATGCTTGTGTAGCGGTAATTGTATTTGGAGTTAAAGCAGCTTCCAAATCAACAGCTGGTTCATCTAACTCGCCAGTTGCCATTTTTAAAGCCATTTGTAACATATCATCACCGAACGTATTACTGGAATCAACTCCTTCTGGGCTAAAACCTCCGCTATGCGAATGATCACGATCGCCATTATCTTCATCTCTATAAAAAGAAAGAAACAGAAAAGAAAAAAAAAGGAATAATTTTTAAAAGCTATCGGTTACAAATTTACCTATCATCTGCAGAATCTGAATCGCTCTCATTAGTTTTCTTTTCGGTTGCGACCATCTCTGCCATCATAAGAAGTTCAGCTTCGAAAGGATCTGCTGGTATTTTTTCTTGTATTCTTTTAATATCTTTAAATATTCCCTTAGCGCTATTTCTCGTTGTAGGTATAAAAATAGGAACAGGGATTGGTAATGGAAAGGGCATTGGAACTGGAAAAGGCATACTAAACATATGTACTGGATATGGAACATAAATTGGAACCGGAATCGGTATAACTGCTTGTTGAATTCCATCCGTTTGTGTAGCTTTTGTACAAGGGCGTGGACGAACTGATACTCCCTTTGTATGTACAACAGGCTTACACTGAGTTGTTTTATTATGAACTTGAATCGGACTCGGTGGCCTTGTTATAATGTGTTGCTTAAAAATTACTTGGGACGTTTGATTTTGACTGATAGTAACCGAAGGCACCATCATACTATTTACGTTATTTTGTTGAGTAGTTGGACTAGATTGTCCATTTCCTATCGCTAAACTTGTAACAGATGAAATTACTGGCATGTTTTTTTTATTTTGCATATCGTTGGTTTTTTGATTACTGGAATTAGCGTTTCTCTGTGGTACCACTGTTCTTTTAGGCATACCAGTAGGTACAGGATCATCACCTGCTGGTATCGTAATTGGCGATTTAGTGTACTGAGCTTGAAAATTCATTACACAGTGGTAAGAACAAAAATTTCGTATCGTTGCATCTGACATTGTTAAATGATACTGGGCCTGTGAGTATTCTCTACAAAAATCACAGTTTATTCGTTTCGCCGAAACTGCATTAATAGATACCTGCATGTAATTAAATATTAATGGATTTAATTTTAATTTTACTTTATATTAATAAAATGTGATTAGTCTATACCTGATACAGTGTTAAGCAGTTTAAGCTGCACATCATCATCACCTGTCCTGTTTTTAGTTCTTTTTTAATCATATCAAAATTGTACTTTTTCACTTTACACCAATTGCATGGAACGATTTTTCTATTCGTAATAATAAATATATTCAAACAAGTTTTAGAACAAAACATATGAGCCTCATTTTCATAAAATACGACCGAACTTTTCTTGTTAGGTAATTCAAAAAATTTTTTGCAGGTGGAACATTGATCAGGATCAACTTTTTTGACAAATTTGAATGCTGCAAAGCATGGTTCACTGCAAATAGCTACTGGTTCAGATCTGTCTATTTGAACCTCGCAATGCACAACTTTTTCCTGTTATAAAGAATACTTTAATTTATACAATTTTTATTTTATGCTAGAAATATAATCATTATAAACTATTAAAATATTTCCAGTTTATATTGAAAATACAAATATAAATAATGCAGATAATTTCTTACTTCTTCACAGACACTGCAACATTTTTTTTCCAGTATTGGAGGCTCAACAGAACTCATTTTTGAATACTTTTCCATACATTCTTGAGTACAGAAATCTTTAAATTGTCCTCTGTCCCCAACTGGTGCTAGAAAACCTTCTGTACCAGAACTTATATCTTTTTGACAAAAGCTACATACTTTTAGTCCTTTTTTGAATTCTTCTAAACATGTAGAGCAACAAAACTGTCTAACATCATAGCCAAAACGTACACAATATTTGCCTAAACTTACTGCTTGTACCGAACCATTGCAATTTCTACAATAACTGCCATATTTTGTTTGAAATTTGCCTAAACATTCTTCGTTACAAAATTCCATTGTTTCCCAAGAAAGATTGCGTTCATCATTAGGTTCAACTATTAATAAACAATTTGCGCATCGTTTTTCCCGTTTAGAATTAACTCCATCACTAGGTATGTCCATAGCTCTGTTATTAGCAGCTTTGAATAAGGCTTTACAAGTTTTTGAACATACACTATAAGTATCAAAACCAATCTTTACTTTAATCTTACATGACCTTTCTTCATTACATTGTTTACAAATTTCTTTAGTCGTGATTTCTTCGATTTCAGAATTTTTTGATTCTTCATCAATATTAATAACATCTGCAGTTGGAGCTGTAACTTTGGCATGTGAATCTTTTGCTTTTTGGACACTTTCTGTATCTTTTGGATTGGATTCAGTTATATTTGATTCCTTTGAATTTTGTTTCGAACTTTTGTTTGTTCCAGTTTGTAAGTCATTATCTTGACTGCTTTGTTTAATTTCATTATGTTTATGACTACCTCCAGGTAAAGATTCTTCCTTATTATTAGAATCTGACTTTTCTGTTTGTCCAGGAATTATTACTTTCATGCTGTCTGGAATAATACATAATTCATCATCTTGTCCTGGTAAAACATTAGATTGCTCTTCAGTGTCCATTGGTGTTATTTCACTAAGAGTTTCCTTTTTTTTACTATTACACTTTTCAGTTGGACCTGCAACTTCTGTATTTACGTTTTCACTTTCTTCCATCTCAACTGAATTGTCGTTACAAGTTTTGTCAGTACTTATTATATCTGAAGAATGTAAAATATCAGATGAAATATCTTTATTCTCTTTGTTACTTTTTTTCTTAGCATTAAAACTGTTTTCTCTACTATTTACAATATCTTGCAGATTATCTGTTTGACTACATAATTTAGGAAATTCTACATCAGTTTCATTAAGATCATCTGTGTCCATTGATTCAACATTTTCTGTTGTAAAATTATCCCCTCCAAAAGGATCTTCAGCATCCATGGACTGATTTTCAATTTGTACGTCTCCATGTTTTTCTTGAGAAAATTGTACAAATTCTGTATTTTCTGGTTCAACATTTCCCTTTGTCACATTCCTTTCACAATCTTCTAGTGTTTCATCTGATTCAGTCAATTTAGTATTTAAACTACCTTTATCACTAGTAGATAGTTGTGTTTTTTCTGTTTCAGAATCATCTTTTTCTAAGTTCAAATTACATATATCATCTGCATCAGCAGTTTCTGAGCTCTTGTTTTCCATTTCCTCTGGTGTATTCTTTGCGGTTTGAAATTCTAAACATTTTGTGGTATTTCTATTATCTGATGAAATATCTGTGCTTTCTGTGACAGATGTTATTGGTGTTATTTTTGTGCTTTCTTCCTGTGAAACAGTTTCTGTAGTATTTTCATGTAAAGTTGCATCCTGTATGTCATTACACTCGGTACCTGTTATATTACTTTCTTGTAAAGTTAATGTATTCATTCGCAAATTACCTTCTTGTAATGTATTTTCTTGATAAGATGCAATATTTGATACTACTGTACTTTCTGAGCTTTGATCAGACTTTTTTTGATGAATTTCGTGTAACTCGTTAATTAACTTTTCATTCGCTTGACTTTCATCTGCAGTATTTTTATTTGAATCAAGAATTAATGATCCTTGTATTACTTCATCCGTATTAGTATTTATGTCATTATTATGTTCAATTAAATTTTCATTTTCTTTTTCATTGTCCATGTGTGAAATCTTAGTTTGATCACTTGATAATTCTATATCAATTTCAGAATCCATACTTATTTATATGAATAAATATCTGAAATAACGGTATAAAATAAATATTATCAAATATATAAAAACAAATTACCTTCTAAAAAGATACAATTAAAATATACCAAAATATTTCAATTATATTTAAAATGTGAAAAGAAATTTTCACAGAACAAGAAAACCTGTAGCTATTCAATAGTATATGAGTAAATATCTTATTTGTTTAACACAATATAACTTATGCAAATTCATTTTTAATATCATAAACAAATAACAAAACAAGCATAATGAAATTAAATTTTAAAACATGAAAAGTAATTATAATTTTTAAAAATTTGAAACACAGAAAAGATAAATAAATAAATGTTTCCCGAAAATAATGGATATTAAATTTTTTCTCTCACTGTAAGAAGTTATATTACGAAAAATTGAGGTTATTATGAAAAGTAGCTTTGCTTCGCCATGTTGTATTTTATACTTGTGATTTAATAGACTGTGACAGTAACGGCAAAACACAAATAAAAGCAAACGAAAAAGATTTTATTTTTATTCATTATCAATTAATATTACCTTATAAATTAATAAAACATAACGAATATACTTTATTATGATCTTCCAATCGAAATATTGTATACAAAATTTTAAGGTTTTATATCAGTTAAAAATATGAAATTGCATTTGAAAACTAAGAATGTTTTTAGAGTTTTAGGTGCCGAAAAATGAATATTACCTTCAGTTTCAATGCTAAATAGCACTTTGTCTCGCAATATTTACTTAAAAATATAAATCCATACTCATTGTCGAAATACAATAGCCGTGGCGGTAATCCGTCTACACTACCAACATATGATCGTAATCTTATTTGGATCAAACCAAATGAAGCCGCGTTCTCATAATTATATTATTATTCTTTTGTTCTTCGGTATTTTTAACCACGTAAGAGAAAAAATTGGGATAATTATAATAACATTTGCCATATGATAGTTAGCTTCACAATACAATTTATTCGTATCCTCTATTACTTCGATGTCCGCTTATTAAAGCAACGACATAAAAACATACTTTTATGATTTTATAAAATAAACTTATAGGTATTGGATAATTAAAAGTAATATAGTCTTTAACAAAACCTTATATTCATGTTAATTCATTGAAATATATATAACAGGCGTTTAACAATGAATAATGATCTTTTTAATAACTGAGTTTTGTAACATTAATAAATATGATACCTATATTCTTATAAAAATAAAAATTAATATAAAGTATTATATTAAATTATTACAATTGGTACAATCTTTTTCATTTATATTGTGATTAATGTAAAAAAGATTTCCTTCGCATATCTGGATCTTAAAAATTTTTTGAACGGATGAATCTTATTAGCGCATGCTCTAACTTATGTATTATAACGGTCAAATGTGAATTTGCCTGTTGTTAGTTTAATCGTGACTGATCGTGACGTATATGTGTACTCTCATGCAGAATCGATGAGTTACAGTACACGTTAAATATTTATCGATAGTGAACAACAACGGAGAGTATACATATACAGATTACTAAATTTAACAAGAAAACGCGAAGAAATAATATAAATAAAAAAGGAAATAATAAAAAAAAAACCGAAAAAAAAAAGGAAATTGATGTGTACGAGGTGTTTTTTTTATATGATTTTGAAGAAACTGTGAATAAGTCGTTAAATAAAATTAAGGATATAGTATGAAATATATTTCAGCCTTGAAGACAGATTTATTTCGATAAGTTCATACTATATTTCATATTGCTTTGTATAAAAAGATCTCACGCGATCCTGTGAGGACGCGTTGTCGATTATTGTTAAAGTGGAAGCTTTAGAAAATGGCCGACAATTGGACACAGAGCGTTGTTTGCCGGTAAGAAATTGACCTGTTACCGCTTTTTAACAGTTTTCGCTGGTAATACATAAATCACAAAATAACAGCATATATTTCTTTATATATACGGATGTACTATAACATGTCAACAAGTTGAACCATGTAAATATTGATATTTTCCAAGTTGCTTTTACTTTTTTTTTTCTTAATATATTTTTGTTTTATTTACTAATTTTATTGATTTGTCAGTATATTATACTTATTTATCGATCAAAAGAATTTTGTATACGTTAATAATTCATTTATTAGTTTATTTTTTATAAATAGTTATGTATTCTTTAAATTCTTGTAATATAATTGGTTATATCAAATTAATATAATGTTTATGATATTTATTATTGTGTACGCATTTGTGAATATTAAATACTAAATAATTTAATGTTACTTTTTTTTGGGTGCTGTAATAAAATGTAAACCAATATAATGTGAAAATAAACAGTTAAAGATAATTTTGAATGTATAGTGATAAGTTCATATAGTGATACATTGTATAGGGATTGTATAGTAATAAGAAAGACATATATTTTTTAACAAATAATGATATTCTTTCTTCTAACTTCTTTTTTTATTGTAGTTATTTCAAAAATGGTATATGCCGTGAAGGGAGTAATTGCAGATATCGTCATACTCAAGAAATTGGAAATGATGGGAATACCAATGAAACAGTAATTTCTTCTGTTCCATCTTTTAGCAGTGTATGTCGTTTCTTTAAACATGGTGTTTGTAAATTTGGGAACCAGTGCCATTTTCGTCATAATCCTGAAATTGATGATAATAATTTGGTAAATGCAAATTCGGTAGAAAATTCTTCATCTGGACAACAGACTTCAAACACATCAGCTTCGACAACAATAAAGAATGTGTATGTTGTCGTCAGATGACATTATAGTACAGCAAGATTTAAGTTGTAATACCATTTGCATATCACATAGTACATTGTAATATGGTATATAAAAATATGCGATTATATGTATATATATATATATATATATTTATGTACATAATCATTATATTGATAAAAAATGTAATGTATTAAATTATATTAATGCTTTTCTAGCAAAGAAAATGCTCATGCAGCCGAAGAATGGGTGAAAGCCCCAGAATTTGTGCCTTCGTCTGTAGCTGGTTCATCTTCAGCAGATGAAGCTTCTAATACTTTAGAAACATCTGCGAGTTCTTCACTGCCATTATCCTATGCTCAAGCTTTGAATCCATCTGGTCAAGCATCCAATCCATCCTTAGAACCTTTATGTCCATATGCAGAGGCAACTGGAATTTGTAGGAAACGTAATTGTACATATTTGCATGGAGATATTTGTGAACTATGTAATCGTGCTGCACTTCATCCAAATAATGAAGAACTTAGAAAAAAACATACAAATGTAATTATATATATATATATATATATATATATTACATTACTTTTTACATTAATATAATTCAAGATTTGTATTTATTACTGAAATTTATATTTTAGGCATGTGTTAAACAACATGAAGTAGATATGGAACTTTCATTTGCTATTCAGCGTAGCAAAGACAAATCTTGTGGAGTTTGCTTTGAAGTTATAATGGAAAAAACATCTGGAGAACAGAGATTCGGAATTTTACCAAACTGTAATCATTGTTTCTGTTTAAGTTGTATTAGAAAGTGGAGACAAGCTAAACAATTTGACAATAAAATTATAAGAGCTTGTCCAGAATGTCGGGTCACCTCAGACTTTGTATGTCCAAGTATGTATTGGGTAGATACAAAAGAAGAGAAAGAAAAATTAATAATGGACTACAAATATGCACTGAGGTAAGAAAATATATACAATAATAATATTTGATTATATGTTACACTATTTATTTATTACAGTATCAAAGATTGTAAGTATTTCAATAAAGGACGTGGTAAATGTCCATTTGGCAATAAATGCTTTTATCTCCATGCACTTCCTGATGGCACTAAAACAGACGTTGGTCCACCTGTTCGTCAACGACGTAATACTGATGCAGATATTGATATTATACATGTAAGTTTGAAATTTAATGAGATTATGATGTTTTGTAACTCTTTATTTATTTATTATTCATATTGCATCTATTCCATGGATAAACAAAAACACTATAATAATTTTTACAGCAATTAATCTTGTGGGACTTTTTTGAAGAGAGAGATAACCGTTGGCTATATGGTGGAAATATTGAAGATATTCTACCTTTTTCATCAGATTCTGAAGAATCAGAATGGTCTGAATATGAATTTTAGTGTGGAATGTTTTAAATTTTTTGTTAACTCAATATTCTTTTTTGCTGCTGTTGCTGTTAACTGTATTATCTATTCCATTTACCATTTATATGTGGTTCAGTGGCTGAATAGACAAATAGTTTACGAATTTTGTAAATCATAATAATTTCGAAATATCTGGGCTAAATTAATACAAATACCTACGTACTTTGTTTGGTGTTATTTACATGAAATTTATGTAAATTACATCAAAGTGATAATAACAGTAACAGTAACGATAACAGGGAGGTTAGAGTCGCATGTATGATGACAAGTTTTTTAATAATATATTGTCACTTTATAATGGGTTCTTTTCATATATTTTAACCACTATTATTGTAACTAATACTCAGTCGTACGAAATGTATATCAAATTATTTGCACTCCAAATTCAGTTAATAGTATATAGACCAACATTTATAGTACTATTTTTTCAATATAAACGTACACAATATTATTTCTACTGCTGTCTGATCATTGGGCTATTTTTTTTTTTCTTTTTAATGAAGAAAATTAATTGTTAGTATAGTACACTAATAATAATTACTTCATACATTTTAAAAAATAAATTTGATTCACTTCTTTGTCAAATGAAGCAAGTGTACTATTATAATTTAATCTTTCAAATATCATAGTTTTGTAAACATCATTATATCCCTGTTTGTTCTTGGCTCGAAACTTAACATTTGATTAAGAAATCGGTAAATAAAGTTAAAACAATATTAATTTATTATTTCTTTTTACAATATACGTTTAGTGTTTTAGAAGTAATTTTAACTTCAGTTTGGTACTTACTCTATGCAAAGAAAACCAATATCAGGTTTTATTACATTCATTTCTTACTGCACTTAAGGAATACAAGTTTTATAGAAAGCAAGAAATTAGCTTACACGTTATAAGAGATAATGAATAAATACAAATTTGTTATTTACAATAATTGGTACTTTATATATATTTGATTATTTATGATACACAATTAATTGTCCTACCTCCTGTTATATATCACTGTGAACATCTAACAAATTTCTTTAAATTATTCAACTGTATAGCGTTAATGTTTAATTAATAGTTTTAAGATATCCGTGATAAATTGCGCAAATCGAATGTACCGTAAGTAAGTGTGTGTCTGTGTAGTAATATGAAAATTTGGTTGAATGTGTATACTGTTAAATGTAATAAGAGGAAACGATTTTTGGCGAATATGCACAAACTGATTCCAGATTTAAAGGAAAAAGCAAATAAAAATTATTTTCTAAATGATACATGAATTCAAAGCTATTTGAAAACTTTATTATTTTATCTATGATTCATTATTTATTAAATTTGAATATTTCATAGGTATCTTCCTTTTTTTCAATGAACTGTATGGTTCTATAAATGTAATAAATAATTTATCGAAGAATAAAGGCAATCAGCTTTTTAAGCAAAAATAAAGGCCAAAGAATATAACAATCTTTTTGTTGTTGGATAAGCCATTTTATAGAAGCAGTTTTCTAAGTTGTTTAAGAAGTTGCTATAGACAAGTATTATATTCTTAAATCGTTTCGAAATATTTTATGTATGTAAAATTCATTTACTATGATTCATAGTTATAAGATATGCATTTTTATTGGAGACTCATCAGTGTCGTTTTTAGTGAACATTATAATTATGTTGTTCGTCATTACAAATGATGTAGTATGATTTTTTAGTAGATAACTCTTCCATAGCATAGTGTACGAATTGTTTATATTTCTTATACGATTCCTGTGCTGTTAATTTTATGGAGAATAACAATTAAATTTTTGTTGTTATTGTTAACGCTGTTTATGAAAATATTAAAACTACGTTAAGCATTATTTTTTATTGCGTGAATACTTTCTGGATTTTGTTGTAATAGTTAATCATTAATGAGTAAATATTGAAAAAAAGAATTACTATATTCATATGTTAACAATACAGATAATAATAATATTATGGGCTATATATTATGAATTTAAAATCATACTGTTTATTTTGGATCTTACAAAAACAATATAGATATAGAGTGCCAATGGATCTGACCAAGTCCAATATTAGTTTATTTTGTGAAGTGCAGTTGTAAAATATAAAATGAAATAATTTGTTCATGAAACAAATTTCGCGTATATACATGTATTTGCAATTGCACTATATGTCTATATAACATTAGAACTTTTATATAATTTGTGAGTGATTGAATTATATATAAAATTTTACGATAAAATTGCTTAATCAATATTAGATGTATAATACGCGTTTTAAATGTAACTGATTTTGACCATTGCTTCCTACCATATTAATTAATATTTTAGATTGGACGTTTACTACGTTTATTATAATTCAAGATTTAATTTCCATTTTAATATTGTTACATGAACAATAGATATAAATACATTTTTCATCTTATCTACTCCACAAATACGTATTCAAATTTGAATCTTTCTCTGAACAAGAGATAATAAATCAATTTTTATAGTAAAATAAGTCAATAAATATGAGACTCGGAGCTTAACAAATTTTTATAAGTATTTGTTAATTGTAAAAAATATAACTGTTTTAAATATTTATTGGTAGGATGTAATGGATCTTAACAATTCATAAAACAATTATATAAAATATATTGTGTAATAGTTTTGTTTTTATTGTATTATAATTCTTGCTATTGCATAGTTTATCAAAACAAATATATTATATAGATCATAGTTTTAAAAGATTACATGTAACTAACAATTTAATTGGAAACATTAGGTGCTATTGATAATGACAATATGATTTTTTGTTATGATTCCATAATAGCATAAATATAAAATTAAAAAATTTTTTTTATTAACATCTCATAGTAAAAGAAAAATATCAGTTTTTTAATATAAAAATGTGTTTTTATTAATAAAACGTAAAATTCATTTATTTTATAATAGAAATATTAATATGATGGCAAAGATAAAATTAAGTGATGTGAATAATTTATTACTCAATGGATTAAATCGAACATTTATTTAGTTTTAACGTTTTACATTGTAACGTTATAAAAGAGAACATATTTAATAATAGGCATTAACTAAAGCGTGAATCATTTATTTTTGTTATAAGTTCATAGGGTTGACATAAAGTATAAATTAATCATTAACTTTAATATACATTACTTCTAGTTCTTGAAAATAAAGTTTAATCGAAATGGATGTTCAGCTTAAAATAAAATTAGTGAAATTAAGATGAATGTACATTCATGAACATATCATAGAACTAAATATAATTTCATTATACTGTTCGAAACATAAATTCTATTTAAATAAATACAACACATTTTTAACCAAATCATCACAAAACATCATTCGAATCTTTGGCGTTCAAAGCCAAAGATGTTGAAATTAATGGAAGTTAACATATCCTTATGATCTACTACTTCAGATAGTACAAAATAGTAAAAAAACTATTTCCATGAATATACAATATATTAAAATATATGATCTAAAGAAATATTCCATACTATTACTATTTAATCAATATATGTTTTGTAATTTTAGCAACTCCATTTTTTCGTTTCAAATGTGCTTTCAATTCTGTACGTTATTTTAAAAGCAATCTATTCTATAAATATTCTATAAAATCAGTTATAAAAATATCCATTTTCTATAATACGAATCAAAGCAATTAGTTAAATAAAATACAATCACTTTGATATATTCTGCTACATATTCTATCAGGCCATGACTATATAATATATACAAAGCTTAAGCAGCTTGGATTAAAAAGAAATTCCAAGTTACTCCTGCAATGTCATATTTTTAATAATTAATTTCTTATATATCTACTGTTCATTTACATTAAGTTGATAAATATTTTTGTATAAGTTTAATAACAATTTTGTGTCAGAATAAGGCACTAGTAAAATTTCAACGCTAAATTGATATTTAAGCAATGTTCACAATTATCACCCAATTAAATTTTCTAAAAGTTGCAACATTTTACTTAATGTGTATAAGAGCACACGTTTCTTTAACCACAGAAGTACTGAAACTATTTAGTAATACTGAATTAATCATTTTGTTAAGAAGACCAAGAAGTAAGAGGAAAGCAATTTCTTACGATCATATTACAATATTCTTTTCATCATGTCAACTGCTATAATAGAAATTACTTCTATTAGTATATCATATTTCAGTCTATTACAAATGAAAAAATACATTATAAATATTTTTTTTAGACAGGTCCAGCCTATCCGACCTGGCTCACTCTACTTGTTTAAATTTGCCATCATCTATAAACGAATAAAAAATTATCTCAATGACGCAAGATAAGGCTGACATGTCATTCGTTGAACAGGCTGATAAATTCTTTTTTGAACTGAACCAGCAACTGATCCATTATGCATGATATTTGAAGCATCAAGTTCTGGATCATTTGTTTCCCGAGAATCATCTTGAGTTTCATTCGAAGCATTCTGTCCATTCATCTCGTTTCTTTTGCGGAATTTAGTAGAATATTTATAAAAATCTGACATTTCAAAAGGTTTTGTAACTTCTCTATATGGTTGATATTTTCCCGCTTGAACAATTGTACAATTCTGAGCTGATCCCAATATTATGGCTTCTTCGCTTGTTTCTTGAAGTGGTTTTGATTCGGCTGGAATTTCAAGCACTTTCTTCCGCGTTGATTCATAACGGGGCGACAATGGTTGTAAATGCTGATCATTTTCAGTAATTAATATATCAGTTTTACGGTGATTAATTGTAGGTACATAATTATTTCTTCCATCGTCACTGTTGTTGCTCATAGATGTTTTAGAACATACAGGAAGAGCAGATGGATAGTGAATGTTCTTATGCGATGATATTAAATTAGTATCTAATCCTGGACTTGTACGCGAATCTAAGGAAGTTTCATACCATTCTTTTTCTTTTCCTTTGCGACTAACATTATCTGTTGCATCCTTACTATCGGGCAATTCATGTAAATGATTTGGGTGCCATTTTTCTACGCTGCCCAAAGATTGTGTGCGAAGCAACATCTTGTTCGTTGACGGTTGCTCTGACAAAGGAAGCAAATGAACAGAGGCATTTTGATGAGATACGATATAAGGAGAATTTTTAGTGCATCCTACAGATACTGTACGATATCGGGGTTGGATATCAGTTCCAATACTGTTAGTATGTTGTACAGCATTACGTTTCCTTCGATCTAGACTACCGAATCTATCTGAAGCAGATTGTTCATCAGGGCACCAAACAATTTCATCATCGCATCGCATCCAATAACCCGAAGGTAGTTGTGGCTCACTAGGTAAATCTATGTATCGTACATTTTTATTTCCACTAGAATCACGATCTCGTCTAAGTAAAGATTGTAATTGAGAATTATTTTTATGATATACCGGAAATTCTGGTAGATGTGCATGATGTAATGTGCGAAAATCTCTTTCGTAATATTCTTGACTCGATCTTCGTTGAACATCATTATCCAAATGTTTATAATCAGAATACTGCTGATAATTATGTACATGATCTTGTAGCTGCTGTTGTTGAAACTGACGATATCGTAATTGTCGTTCATTTTCAGTATATGTATTTGGTACAGGACGATATATTCGCTCATTATCCTGATAATGATTTTGATTTCGTGAACCACCGCTTCCATGCGAATACGTTCGTGTACGATATTGGTCAGGTAATATGTAAACATTTTGATTATCATTGTGGTCATGTTCTATTATTTTAATATTTTGCCTCTGATCAGAGAATGTAGAGCAATAAGCACTAATATGATTATGATTATAAGTATTAGATATCAACGATTGATCATCATATCCATGACCAGGATAAGTGTTGCATTTGTCTTCTGATCCTACTGGACTTAAGCTTATGCCACCTTCCTGAAGCAATCCTCTTGTTACCTTCATATTCATGTCATTTACTATGAAAAAAGGCATATGATTTAACGTCAAATTAAAAAAACATCATTTTTTATTGTTGAAGCATGTAATATCTTAATATTATACCTGTGTTATCTAGCGGTGGACGAGGTTTTTTTGTTCTATGCTTTACATTGGTATGCAAATATGATTGGGTATTACAAATGCTGGAGTGTTGAGATTGTGTTGAATTATGTGTTTTACTACGACTCTGTCTTATAAAATTCAGTCGTGCTTCTAATTCTTGAAGTCTACGTTGACTCTGTTGATAGATAAGTCTATGCTTACGACGAACTGCTTTACTTTCTCTAGGATCATTTACAATCCCTAATGCAGCTTCCACTATACCAATCTGAACTTGTCGTTCTAATTCTAGAGCAGATTCTTCCTACAAAGATGAACATAACAAATTTTGTGTATTTAATTTCCACCTATCTATATAAATAAATTAATTTTAACTATTCATTTTGATCTAAGTATTAATTTGTTAAAAACATACGACTTCATTTGTCTTTAGCTTATTAATTAAATTTTGTGGGTATGTAAATGCGGTTCCAACTCTTTTACGAAATAGTGGTGGACTTTCTCCAGGTTCTAATGGAATCTCTGGTGGTAAGACACCAGTTAATTCGGCTTCCTCTACACACAGATTTTTCAGTTCCGTATTTTTTTGAGCTAACTTTTCTTGTAATGCTTCTCGGCGTTGACGAAGCCATTGTAATCTTGTAGACAGTGAATCTTCTGCTAAAGATCCAGAGGTGTTATCGTTCCCTGCCATCACTTAAAATAGAGATTCATCAATAGCAAGTACAACTAAACTTTTATCGAATAATGTAATACATTTCTTTACAAAATACCGTAATGAACTTCACCCTCTTACCCATATTATTAGCGAAATATGACGATAATGACTGGAACACGTATTTTAAATGGAATGTTTTATGTAACCGCGATGTATCTTAGACGTTTAAAAATATCAATGTTGACAAATTTCATAAGTTACACGTAAAGCAATGCATCATTTACATCTTACTCATTTCCCTTCAATAAGCTTTTTCTAAAATGATATTTTATATCATTTTCAAACAATTTCACGTTACAAACTCCATAAAACTTAATAGGAATTATCGATAGGTTAATTATTAACGTTATATATTCATTATTATAATTGTGGTAACTGTATCTAGAACTAAGTGCACCAATTTACATAAAATCAGCTTTTACAAAGAAATTTTTACATTGTACGAGCACTACAGTACACATATATCTCTCAGAAATACAAAAAATACAATTGATGAAATAAGTCTGTATTTATATAAGAACATATATATATATATATTCACGTTCATATACGTGTGTACAAGTGGGTATATCAGGTCATTTCTCTACAGTTGCCATTATATATACAAGTGGCGTCATCTGTCCGGCGAACAGGGTGAACTACACTCCGTTTGTACCGTTTACATAGGAATTGTCTTCTTATATTTTAATAATCAATAAATTAATAACTTTGCAAAATAATTGATTTTATTGGACTTGATTCTGAATTTGATTTTAACACGTGTTCTTGAATTAAGGTTTGATTACAGAATGAATAGCGAACGATTTTGTTTTTTAAATAAAATTGAATACAATTAAACGACGATAGCTTTAAAAATTAATTATTTGTTCACAAGTACAAATATTCTTCTTGATCGACGACTTTGATAACAGAACTCATCTTGACCGATGACCGTGATGATCACCATAGGGTGTAGGAATGATTGAAAATGATTCGCATATAAATACATCAAGAAAAAGAGAAACAATCTTTTAAAAAAACCGCAAAAAAAAATGTCGATAGCTGCGTCATCTAACAACAAACGACTGAACTAACGGGCCCCATTGTAGTTCAGCTCACCACTGATAGATGGCGCTGCGCCGAACCTACATAAGGGTGCGTTCAGATTAAGCAAGTAGCGGTCACAATAGCCTAATGTGAATGACATTTAATGAAAATTCCGCGTATCGCTGCTAGATGGCTCTGCATCGAATTTACATAAGGGGGTGTTCAAAGGTAGGACAAAGGTATATTTAGTCTTGTTATATCTGTAGTCAATTAATATACTATATCTACTTTGTTGTCTGCATATTTACATATTCGTTTGACATCTTTTGCATTTCAGAATTCATATTCAATTTACTGAACAGGTTGGAAATTTCGGATATGTTATTATAAAAAGTAACAATTGCACTGTTATTAATGTTATTAATTATAAAGTTTAGTAATATTTATTAATCATTATTAATAATATTTTTGTAATACACGAATTACGATTTATAAATTTAATTCATATGCAGAGAAATGTGATTTTGTTTATATAAATATTTATTAATCATCATGGTGAATAATTTAAAACCCGAATGTTCTTTTGCATCATGGTATCCTCAATTTCGTAAAGATTCTTTAAATGCTACTATTTTTAATATTCCTGAAGAAGTACTTACGTACTTGGAACATGATGCATTTATACTACCTGTAGAAGCAACAAATTCTGCGTTGCAAAACACTGAGTGGTTGGATGGATCTCCAATAGAAGACGAACAGGTAATTTTGATACACGCATAAACATTAATTTTAAAATATTGTTTTATACACATGAAGTTTAAATTATTATTTTTCTTAGCACTCTCTAGATTTTCAACCAACATTCCCAGAATTTAGTAAAAGAATTCAAGATACGATAGACGAATATAATGCAGTTTTCATTAAAAGTAATTGGAGTTCACCTTTGGTAAATAATTTTTGTTAATTTTTATTCCAACAACAGATATTTAAACTTTTCAATATTTACTTCTAGGATGCAACTTGGGTTGCTCCGACCAAAACTCTCAAATGCAAAACATTAGAAGAAGTATATTTACTGTTAAAAAGTTCAGACAGAATCGCAAAAGATTTGAGTAATGTTAAGTGTTATTCAAATTGCGAAAATTCATTGACACCGTGTCTAGTAATAAAGAAATGGCAGGATATTAATCCTTGTACAGAATTTCGATGCTTCGTAGTAGACAATGAACTAATAGGTAGCAAATTTTTGTTGAACTATCTTACTGTATGTAGTTGTAATTTATTTATTCAATTAAATTAGTAGTTGAATTTTGTATAGGAATTAGCCAACGAGATATATCGCAGTACTATACCTACAATGATTCAGAAAAGTATAACATTCAGACAGATATCAAAAGTTTGTTTATGGAACGTATTAAAGGCAGATTTCCATTGAATCACTGTGAGTAATTGAACAATCTTATTTCAATCGTGACGAACGATTAAACATATGAATTTTTTTTATTATAGATTCATTCGATGTTATTCGTTTTAAAAAGGAGAAGGTAAAAATAGTTGACTTTGGTCCATTAGATGAGTCTGCTACCAAAGGAACCCTTTTTACATACGATGAATTACAAAATCAAATAAAACATACACCAGAATTTCGATTTATTGGCGAAGAAGTTGGTATACAACCGAAAGCTTCAAATCATTTTTGTATTCCACAAGAAATAAATGATTTTTTTAATTCTAACGAAAGTTCCACCTTATTAGACATTATTCAACGAGTAAGCGCATCATTCGTCTTCTTCGATTCCAATAACGTGGAATTATTATATCGAATTAACTCTATTGTTTTTATTTCAGGAGGTAGAAAATCAGCAGAAAGACTCGGAGAGCGACACTTGATGTATGTCATAGAAAAGTTGTACGTGTGTATGTTGATACGATTATACAAAGGATTTAAATAAAATAATGTATTGCTTGATACTTCAATTTAGTATCGTTATTTAACTTTTGTGAAAAAGGAAAATATATTTATATAAAAAAAATTCAGCGTACGATAAATAACGAAATAAATAAACGTACACCTTGGGAACATTTTTAAATACAGAACTTTCACTTTTATTCTGTCAGACCCTCTTCTATCATTACATTACATAAAACGATTAAAGGCTATCCTACCGCTTAAAAGAATTATCGTAATATTGCAATATTTTTCGAGCCATCGGCTTTACCGAGCGACGTCCCTTATATAGAAAATATGTCTTGTTTATGTACAATATGTAATCCTTAATACCCCAATTTGAAAAAGGATTCTCGATATATGTACCTCCGGACAAATTAATGCGCTGTACAGTCATATCCACGGAGTATTCTTATTTTTTTCGTCTTTTTTTCTCTTCTTTTATTTATGTGACAAAAGTTAACGAGATCAAGCGATTACAACATCAGTTGTTTCTTATTAACATTTCTAATTTTGTTTTTTCGTGATAGATTTTCAAATACGAAAACACTTAATGATAGCTTTTAGCAACTCTGAATAGAATCGACTCTTTTTCACTTTTTTCTGTATTAGCAGTTTCGTCCGTATCAGGATATACCTCGAGATTATCGGTATACCGAGTCTTGCATCTAATTACTGATAAGTATTCGACAATGATGATATTTATAAGTGAACCAAGAATTCGTCTACACGATAGTCGAGCATGTTCAATTATGTAAGATGCGATAACAATACCTATTTTGTCACAGTTATTTTATAATTGGTATTAATCATTAAAAAAAAAACAAGAATTCTGCAGATACATTAACACTAGAATCACCAATGATTAACGTATACCCGTGACTAAGCCTCGGTATATCTACGTATATCGAATAAAAGAATATGAATAGATCAATTTAATTATGTACATATCGGAATGAAAATCTAAGGAAAATCTTGAAAAATTCATTGAAATTCGAATAACTCTTCTATAAAAATGATAAATCCGTCGATTGTGTTTTGGTAGTTTTAGCGTTAAAATATCTGATTAAAGAATATTTGTACTTGAAATCGCCGCAATAGACGTAAGATAATTTGATCATTGAATTAACATTTCAAATATTCGATATATATTCGCAAATGAAAATAGCGATTTTTTTACTCGCTTTACGACTCGTGTCTAGATCGTACGAAATTCGATTGAATACGGAAAACGAGGATACCTTGAATCAGAAATATAACGTACAGCGAGTCGACATTAATTTTGGCATTTGGTCGTGAAGAGGTCTACAGTATTTTCTGAAAAAGTATATATTCGTTTACTCGGAACTAGGAGACACACATTCCAGAAATTTGTTAACGTTATTTCATCTGCGTCTGTTCGTCTGTAAGTACGTTTTAAACGAAAGTGATATTGTTTTGTAATTTAACTTGAAAATTATTTAAATAATTCTCTAACAACCAAACGAACGATGTATGATAATTTCAATCGTATCATTTATAAAATTCAGTTGATTCGTTTATCGATGGTGTTGTCATTTATCAGTAGAATGCCGTGTGCAGTACTACGAATGGAAAACTTCTGTCTTCGATGAACCGAGTGAAATCCATCGAACTGGTCATCCCGGAATACTGTAAATTACTATTAGATCAGAATAGTTTTTAGCCAAGACAAAATACATGTTGTCAAAACGCAGGAAAATAACGAGACCTATACCGCTTATCGAAGTTATAACGAAATGATAATAATAATTAAGAATAATGTAAATAATAATAATTAATAATAATAGTAATAACCACGATAATAATAATAATCATAATAATAATGATAATGATGATAATAATAGTACGTATCACACGGAGACAACTATTAGAAATTTGCACAGTTCGTATGCATGCTATTTTTCTGTTTTTTATTTTCTCATTTTTCTATACTTAACGCTTGTCAAATATTTACATATAAATTGCCGGTGTGTGGTGTATTCACATGTAAACATCGATCCTACGTCAGATATACGACACGTTGAAATAGAATCGTAGCCATCATCGAAGAAACATCTTCAGACTGATCGTGTATCTCGAAAATATGTATTATTAATGTTTATTATTAGCTTTTTTTCTGTTTGTTCGTTCGTTAATAATTACAGTACATATGTATAATGTTTAGAAAAGAAATGTTCCCTTCATTCGTGTGTTTTCTTCACCGATTCATTTAAACGTATATACAGAGAAGTAGATCTTTCCTTTCTTATCCTTTTCTTCGGACATGACTGTACTCTGGTGACTATTAGTTTCACTTTTTCTCTTTTTCTTAAACAACTCCGTCCTCGGTTTATTCGGCTACTCTCGCTTTCCGTTTATCGGTCTTTCTCTATCGGTTTATTTGATTTGTGCTAAACGACAATACGTATATTAAACAATGTACGTTTTGCAGTGCACGGCCGTTTCCTACTTTTTTTTCCTTTTTTTTTTTTTACGTATTATTCTTTATTTCTTCTTTCTTTCTCTCATTCCCTCTCTCTCACTCTCTCTCTCTTTTTCTCTCGTCCTCTTTCACTCTCACTCTCTCTCTCTCTCTCGTTCTCTCTCCTGTCCCTTTCGTTCTTCTCTACTGTACTAAATTCTTTCTTTTACATTCTTTTATTTGCAGCTTCCTTGTGATTTTCTTTTCTTTTCAACATTATTTACTTCTTCTCGTTTTTCTTGTTCACAGATATTAAAGCGTCGCGACACAATTGTCCTCTCGAATACTGGTAGTAGTAAGGGGCATTTTTTGGATTCAGAAAAAAACAGTAGCCTTAACAAACATACGATACAAAATCTCTTAAGTTAATTGCTTCCTTAACGACCAGTGTAAAGCGGTTTGTTCATTTTCTATACATTTTCATTTTTTTCGGCATTTAATTAATGTTTCGTTTCGCCTCTATCTTTCTTTGTCTTTAAGTACCTGAACAGCTTTCTCGATTTTCGAAAACTTTGCTCTTAATTCTTAAGTTTTTCATTTAGCTTTTCACCGTTTCTTCTTACTTAAATCCATTCACAAGTTCTTTGCTTTTTTTACGAAGACTACAGTTACCCTTCTATTATAAATGCGGTTGGTACGACTAAAGGTGGCGAAAAAGGCCAGACTATCACTGACGATCAAATTTTCTCTCTTCCTTCTCCTCCTCCCTCTGTCTCTTACTTCCATCATTCACACACGCACATGCATGCTCTCCCGTTTACTCTCGTTTTTTTCTTCTAACTTGTATAAGCTACGTGTAACGTTGCCTTTTCATTCCATCAAAAAATACGTATCATTTTGCTGCGACATTCTTCCAAAAATGTACATCTACGCACAGATGCATTTCTCTAAATGTCTCCTTCTATGTATGCTTCCAAATTTTCCTTCTTTCGCTCCCTTCGTTCAGCGAAGATAATTCTTTTATCTCTACATCGATTTTTATCTGTACAGGAAGATAAGAGCATATGTTTAATAACATTAACTCGGTGTATCTCTTGAGGTCGATTCGCGACTCGTCGGAATGTTACGATGAAACGATTTTCGAACGAGTTGAAAAAAATGGGGACTCGACGAATTTCGAATATATGTTACTTACTAAAAAAAATAAGCGAATACGTTGGAAGTACTTGAAGCTTTAAATTTCTCTTTTTAATTATTGCTAACTGTATAAGTTGATCAAGACTCGAATTTTGATATTCGTAGCACCGATTATACAGAATACGGCAAACTTAAAAATGGTACATCGGCGAACAACGATGCCCTTGTCCGATAAGAAGAACCCTGGGAGATAGCGACTCTCCTTCTCGTTAGTCCGACTCCCGTGCTTCTTAACTCATCTTCTTTTAATCGTAGCAATCTTTTACGGTGTGAATTATTCATAGGATACGCTTCGATTTATAAGTATGTTACGAATTCGAAGGTAGGAAAACTAGCTAGGAAGCAGGGAGGACGCTACTTTCTTCCCGATTTCCTTTTCTAACGGAAGCCTTTATCGCACACGCGTTGCGATACGAATTTTGCCATACACTGTATAAATTTTCAAATAATTACCTTTCATCTCGTTCGTAAACCCAAGCGAAAAATCGATCGAGTAACAGCGAGCGAATTCATTCGACGATTACAAGCCCCAGAGATTGTTTAACACGTTGACTGATACGACAGAAACAATCATAGCACCGTAATTCACGATAATGCGAATTATTGAAAACCTTCAATTAAATCTTAATTCCTCGATTTACTATTTCGATTTATCAGCAGAATTTCATCGATGTTCGGAATTTAATTGCTCGTTTAAATTAAATTAGCAGTCAATGCGTTAAAATAATCGTGACAACTTGTAAAAAGAAATAATCGACGCGTGCCACGAGGTAGAGTTCGTTAATCGTCGATAGAAACGGATAAAAAGAAGATATCTCGATCGTACGATAAAATACGTTCGAAATGAAACGAACTATAATAATTACAAAGACGATAAATTTTACTCGTTTATACTTATTTTCCTTTTGTATTTTTTTTTTTTCACAGTCGCTTTACTTTTTTCTTCCTCTCTACTTTTCTTTTCAGTTTTCTTTTCCTTTTCTTCGAATGCATTTAAAACGGAGTCACTTTGGTTCGTATCACGAAAGGAGACTTATTCACAGGAACATTACTTTTCAACATTCTTAAACTCTTAGTTTCTGCGCCAGAGATAATATTATTAATATACACCTCGACTAACGAATATTCTAGCCTTTTTTTTTTATACGCCAGATACGACGTGATCGAGGCGTAACACGAGACGCGTACGCGAATTGATCAGTGTTTCTGTAGCTTTAATTACACAACCTTTACAAGAGTGTCCCTTTTTCATTTTACAGTTTAGAATAAATTGCAGGCATTCACGCGTCCACGACAGCACACCGAATGATGATATAAACTTGTCATTCTGAAACAAGGTGAAGCGATTTTGTACTAAAGTGCAGCGATATAATGTTATACTTTTAATGAATTATCTACGTAATGTACAGTTTGCTTTTTTTTTTGGTAATTCTTGTTTTTTTCCTTTTCTTATTTCCGTTTCTTTACACGCATCGTGACAAGTACGGTCGGCTCGTACGACGTACAAGTTTTGCTTTTATGTATATACATATATATATATATATATATATATTTATCATATATATAAATATACACACACATATATATATATTTCCCCGTATTTTCTTTCTTTTCGATACCTTCCAATTTCGTCGCTTTTATTTGGTTTTCGTCGATTTTCTTTCCCGATCTTTCTCTTAACTGTTCCCTGCATGCTACACAATTGAACAAGGATCGTACGTGTATCGATTACAAAGTTAAGACTTCTAACGTTACCGAGAAGCGTTTACGCGAAAAAGGCAAAAGTTCAATGCACGTTTTGCTACCGTTAATTTTCACCAAACGAGATCTCTAATAGAATAGTATTACTCCTCTACTCAGTCGGACCACATCGTGTAAGAAACGTGGGACAGTATCATCGCGACAAATATACATACGAGTAGACAGAACGATTAATTTCAGGCTTTTTTCTTTTTCCATTTATAAATTCTTTAATCTGCGAAGGATCTATCGACGATCGGATACATTTCTTCGCTAGTTACGCCTCCTCAATTTTTTCGCATCTGTTTCTCATTCATGCATTCTCATTCGTTCTTACTCTCTCAGCCTTTCACGAGCGCGCCTAATCATCGCCACAAACCTTATCTTTTGACTAGATTGCGTCTCTAATATTCTTAACGATTTAATCTATGCCATTCATTATAATCTGCGTCTCTTACATCTAATATCGTAGTAACATCTAGTGGTAAAAGGATAATCTATTCTCGAAGAAACGGCAATTGTTCGTTTCTTTTTTTTGTTTCGCTCATCGACAAAACCGAATGGAACGTTAATTAACGCTTATTTTGCCTATACAGGAGGATAGGCACACGCCAAATAACGAGAAATCGCGAGTGTCTCTAGAAATTCCTGTGTATTTGCTACTATATGTACAATGCTCGTAATTTCTATAAGTAATCGTTCGATCCAAGCAAAATATTTCACGTAAAATCGAATCCATCGACGTATATTCCACTGTTCTAGTTCTAGCTTTGTCTTCGCTTCGGTGGAAACTACAAGAACACGTCCAAGCGTATGGAAACTTCCCCTCTTCTTTCTTCTCTACTTTTTTCGCTTCTTCTTCTTCTTCATATTCTTCCTTCTCGATTTCTTGTTGCTTCGTCAGCTTTTTCGTTACGATAAACAACACGATGCTCCATAGACGAGTCTTGGAACGCTAGGACTACCTTTTCTTGCTGGCCTGTTTCGACGACAGTCGTTTTTTCAATCTCGAATGATCCGTCTTGACGGACTTCTTCTTCGGTCTTTCCGGAGATCCGTTGCAGCAAGCGCATCCCTTTTTCACGTGTCCTCGTAAACTGGATCGTCGGGCACGGCAATCGGGTTCTACCATGGCTATGTTACCCGTCTCGTCGTCGGAAGGTTCGGAAGCCTTATCACTGGAGACCATCACTGACTCTTGGATCGATTCGTTCGCCTTGATACGTTTCGACAAGCTACCCTTGTGATCCGTTCGATTCAACACTACCCTCGCGTTCACCTGTAGCTTGTCCTTTTTCTTGAAATAACTGCAACGACGTTCGCTCGATAACGACTTGAGACTGTGCACGCTGTCGTCGAGACCGTTGCTCAGAGCGTTCTCCTCCGGCTGACTACCTATCGATTCGCTCACGCTCGAGTCTTCCTCGTCGCTGCTCGATCTCGTCCTCTCGGACATCGGACTGCCCCAGGACAAATAATCCATTCTCGTTACCTTCGACGCGATCCGTTTCTTGTTGGTGTAGGTATACTTGTGCGTCGAAAGCATCGGACCAGCGATGGGCGAGAGTGGCGAGGGTATGGTCACGTCGGCGGTAGTGCCGCTAAGCAAGGTTAAACTTTCGTCCCCCGAACTGGCGGCCGACGCGTTGTTCACGTTGATACTGGGAGGTAACGATTCCGAATCTAGATCAATGTCTAATTTCATGTTAGACGGAATACTGGATACGCTGCTAGGCGAACCTTCCTTCGATCCGTTCCTCGAGATGATCTTTACCCTAGTGGCATCCTTCAACGAGTCGCTTTCCAAAGATCCTAGATTCGCCGGCGATAACCTCGAAATATCGGACGTACTATTCGACGCCTCGTCCTGACTTAAATTATCCAGAGTTAAACGCATGTGTTTCGCCGGATTCTCCAAGTGCAACTCTTCCACCGCCTTGTCTCTTTTCGATCTCTTCGAGGAAGAATCTTTCGAACTTCTCGTTCGTTGGCCGCTGTTCTTTTTGCGCTCGTTCGCTTTGAAATCGGCCACTGGACTGGCATCTCTGCTACCGCTCGACGAATCTAAAGAACGAAAGTAGGAACCACTGTACGATTTCATACCCAGAGGCTGGCTACAGGACGCGTCCTGGGAAGAATGATCGAAAGACGGCGAATGATTCGTGTCGAACAATAGATCCGCTTCGGGAAACAGATCGCTGGTGCTCGGCTCGTCTACGCCTAAATCTTCGCATTCCTCGGATAAACTTTTTTGCAGCCTCATCTCGCGTTCCATCGCGGCTGCTTTTCTTTCCATTTTTTGTTGCAACAATTCTCTATCTAATCTAGGATTCAACGGCATTTTCATCGCGTTACTTTTATTCGAATACTGTTGGAATGGTTCTAAAGTATGATTCATGAAATATTTCTTCGTATTCGTTTGATAAATTTGTCCGCTCGCCATCTCGATACCTTGGCCTTTGTTGATTATTTGCAGAACGCTTTGAACATTTTCCGAATTGTCGACGTATCGCGAGTTCAAAGGTTCGATGTTCAAAGAGTTGGTGGACGTAGGTACGTATCGCCACGGTGTATCCGGCGATACTTTGCCTTCGGGTTCCCATGCTTCTTGCAGTCTCGCGTTTCCATACAATAAACCGTTGCCAACTTTACACGATACCTCGATACCCTCGCCAGTCTGTTGCACGGCCGACTCTTGACTGTCGGAACTACTCGGACCACCGGTCACCAAAAATTGTGCCGCGTTATCGATTCCTCCTGCTGCTTGTTTGCTCGCGACCGTTATCGTGGACATGGAATCTGCAAATAGAAACATACGCTCGATATTATTCGAACGTTTCCACGAGGGAAGGTTATTATCGCGTGGTTCAATGAACGATCGTTCGAAATTACCTTACGACGTCAACTACACTTTCTTCTCCGTTAATAGTCGCGATAATAATATTTCGACAATCACGGACTATAACACCATACGTGTACGTAAGATGCCTTTACGAATTTCTAGCCGGAAGTAATACCTAAAGATCATTCTACGCATAAACGCCGACAAATTATCGATAATAATAACTGTTCGGACTACTAAAATTATTTTCAAATATATGCTACTTTCGAATATAGCGGTATCGCTCGAAGGAACGACGTAGCTAAAAGTAATCAAGAATTTCGGAACGTTAATCGACATACCCATTGCATCATCGATTTTTCTTTTCACCGTCTTCGGAGAGATGATCTTAGCACCAGGAATTAATTCCGTGGATATTTCTTTTGTATCTTTTTGTTGTTGCTGTTGTTGTTGATGTTGCTGCTGCTGCTGCTGTTGTTGTTGTTGTTGTTGCTGCTGCTGCTGCTGCTGCTGCGGTTGCTGCTGCTGTTGTTGAGCATCGTTCAGCATAGACACGTCCGACTGAGTGGCGAAAGCAAGAGCAATCGTTGCACCAGGCTGAATGGAAACTGGTTTCTCGCTATGACACTGGCTCTCCTGCGACGATTTTTTGTCAGCTGTGTGCGTAATCGTTGCCGCAGGTGTTAGACACACTACGTTGTCCGATTTTAAAGTGGGCGTTGACAATTTGTGTATAGAAGAGTTGAACAGTCTCGTGCCCTGAAGAGTCAAATTTGGATTGCTCGTGATAACACCGCATATCTGTTGATTCTCCGTGGGTTCGTTTAGATTACGCTGAATCAAACCGATCGTGGAATTGCTTTTGTTTACGACGATGGTGTTCGTCGCTGATTCGACGCCAACCCCACCGGCTGCGGGATCAGATTTCGCCATGGCTAAGTCACCGATAATATTGTTTTTCTCCGTTGCAGAATCTCCGGCGAATTGGCTACCGTTTCCGGTCTGTGGAATCACTACCGAGGCGTTCTGTACATTCTGAGCGGCAGCTAGAGTTTGATTGCCCGATAAAGTTTGCAAAGTTGGTATCTTAACCTGTTTGACCTGTGCCGGTTGCGAGATGATTTTCCCGGCTTGATTCAGAAAGGACTGCAGCACTAGAGTGTTCGAGACTCCGGTGTTTCCGGTGGTTCGTACCGTAGCTGGCACGGTAGCGAGAAGCTTCGATCCGCTGGACACTATCGTGAACTGTTGTCCCCCTTTCATAAGGTTCATCGGTAAGATGTAGTTGGTGCCTGGAACTAGAACAGCGGTGCTTCCCATCTTCCCCGTGACAGAAGCCAAAGCTTCGCTAACGCTGACGGAACTGGTTTGCACAGCTTCTTGAACGATCACGGCTCTAGGCTGACCCGAACCGGGCTCAGCGAAGATCAGATTTCGTCTTTTCACGTTCAATTCTACGCCATCGTTTGAATCGTTGGTCAGATTTCGAACCTCGGCGGACGCGTCCGTCACGTTCCCAATGTTATTCGTGGGTTCCTCCGGCGCCGAGAAGCCTGCTGGGCTATCTTGCACGTGTACAACGCCACTCGACGAATCTTCGCTACCCATGGTTCTACCGAGATCGTCCGTGCTCGGACTCAGTTCCGAATTTTGCTGTCCAACCGGTTTCGTCTTATTAGCGTTCGACTTCTTTCTTTTCGACGATTGACTAGGATTCGTCGGTGGATTCGACCTTCGTCTTGGAGCTGGTTTGTTATTAAGATCCGGAGAATTACGAAGCTGTTCCGCGTACTCGTCCAAAATAGCGTAGATCCTTTGAGCGGTTTGCTCGTCTTCTTGCGGTTTCTGTTGCGGTTTCGGAATCGGCGACGCCTTCGATGTGTTCGTCGCGCTGGTCTTGACAGTTTTGGGTGCCGATTTTTTCACCGTCTTCTCCGTGGGTTCGTTTAGATTACGCTGAATCAAACCGATCGTGGAATTGCTTTTGTTTACGACGATGGTGTTCGTCGCTGATTCGACGCCAACCCCACCGGCTGCGGGATCAGATTTCGCCATGGCTAAGTCACCGATAATATTGTTTTTCTCCGTTGCAGAATCTCCGGCGAATTGGCTACCGTTTCCGGTCTGTGGAATCACTACCGAGGCGTTCTGTACATTCTGAGCGGCAGCTAGAGTTTGATTGCCCGATAAAGTTTGCAAAGTTGGTATCTTAACCTGTTTGACCTGTGCCGGTTGCGAGATGATTTTCCCGGCTTGATTCAGAAAGGACTGCAGCACTAGAGTGTTCGAGACTCCGGTGTTTCCGGTGGTTCGTACCGTAGCTGGCACGGTAGCGAGAAGCTTCGATCCGCTGGACACTATCGTGAACTGTTGTCCCCCTTTCATAAGGTTCATCGGTAAGATGTAGTTGGTGCCTGGAACTAGAACAGCGGTGCTTCCCATCTTCCCCGTGACAGAAGCCAAAGCTTCGCTAACGCTGACGGAACTGGTTTGCACAGCTTCTTGAACGATCACGGCTCTAGGCTGACCCGAACCGGGCTCAGCGAAGATCAGATTTCGTCTTTTCACGTTCAATTCTACGCCATCGTTTGAATCGTTGGTCAGATTTCGAACCTCGGCGGACGCGTCCGTCACGTTCCCAATGTTATTCGTGGGTTCCTCCGGCGCCGAGAAGCCTGCTGGGCTATCTTGCACGTGTACAACGCCACTCGACGAATCTTCGCTACCCATGGTTCTACCGAGATCGTCCGTGCTCGGACTCAGTTCCGAATTTTGCTGTCCAACCGGTTTCGTCTTATTAGCGTTCGACTTCTTTCTTTTCGACGATTGACTAGGATTCGTCGGTGGATTCGACCTTCGTCTTGGAGCTGGTTTGTTATTAAGATCCGGAGAATTACGAAGCTGTTCCGCGTACTCGTCCAAAATAGCGTAGATCCTTTGAGCGGTTTGCTCGTCTTCTTGCGGTTTCTGTTGCGGTTTCGGAATCGGCGACGCCTTCGATGTGTTCGTCGCGCTGGTCTTGACAGTTTTGGGTGCCGATTTTTTCACCGTCTTCGAGGACGGTGGAGTGGGCGGTGTTTTCCCAGGTATAGGCGCTGGTGCTGGAGTGACACAAGGACTGGAAGAGCTTTGCGATGTAACGCTTAAAGCAGGAGAAGCCGCAGGTTGACAGTAACTCGTCACCACGACGACGGGCGTCGAATTTGGCGTTTTAGGAGCGGCGGCGGCGACAGCGGCAGTAGCGGTTCCTGTATTCTGATTCGCGTACGTCAAAGAAACTTTTTGAGAGAACACGTCCTGTTGAAAATTGACAGCGTTACCGTTGCTCGCGAAGTCGCTGTTACCGGTTTGTTGCGTAGGCATTAGAAGCTGTTGAGCTAAGGCGCTCACGGATACCTGTTGTTGTTTACTGGCTTGTGATTGCTGAGTTGTAGTTTGCGTTTGCACGGTAGTCGTTACCGCTGTGGATATCATTTGATGCGATTGCGGTTGAATCGTGCTTCTTTCTTTCACCTGTTCTAGAACGCTTTCGAATTCTCTCAATTGTTCCAACGTGGTCGAACTAACTTGATTCGGTACCTCTATTGGAGAACCGAGTAAACTGTCCGTTCGAACGGACGGTGGTTGTTGTTGCTGCTGCTGCTGTTGTTGTTGTTGTTGTTGTTGTTGTTGTTGCTGCTGCTGCTGCTGCTGTTGTTGTTGCGTAGGTTGCTGTTGTTGTTGCTGTTGCAATCTGGGTGTAGTCAAAACTGCCTGAATAGCGCCGGTAATGTTTTGTTGCCTCAAGGGAGCACGAATGATATTTAATTTGACTACCGGCGTTCTACCACTTGGTATGGAATTTGCGTGCGAAATAGTCGGTATAATGTTTAACTGACTCGGATTCGTGGTGGATATCGTGACAGGAATTTTGTGCGTGTAAATCACACCAGGTGAGGCATTCTGAACGCTTTGTACCAGTTGCGTAAGCGTTTGGTTAGCATTCGGACTGGTTGCCACGTTCGCATTATTTCCAGAATTCTGAACGATATTCAGTATTTGTCTGCTGGTAGATAACTGCAAGGTATTCGGAATGTTCGCGATGGACTGTACGTTAATTCCCGCGGATGGATTTGTTTGTTGCGCGTTAGGCACGGACGTTTGGACCGCCTTCGAAAGATTGGTCGTCTTCTGCGGCGATACCGATTGAACCAACGGCTCCGAAGTACCGCTCGTCGACGTGTCCGTCGACAGGGTGTATATAGTTTTACCAAAAGCTTGCTGAAATTTTGGTAAACCAGTATTTTGAGCAGTTTGCGAGGTGGATTTGGTGGACGAGGATGTCAATCTGTCGTACGTGGATCTGGTGGAGTTGCCGTTATCCGCGATGCGTTGCGTTTGTCGAGAAAACGTACCGATATTTCCATCCTCGATATTTTGTAAATTAAGGATATTTCTCTGATTCGACACTATGTTCGGATTGACGGAAGCCAGCTGGTACGTACCATCCGGTTTACAAACAATTTGCAATTGTTCCGAGGTGATAGCCGAAGAAGAACCTCCGGAACCGGCGGTGGTGGTGGTTGTGACGGCGGAACAGGGAGAAGGAGACTTTTTAGGCGATTGATTCGGTTGATTCCGCCGGATCGGCACCGTTCTGGGACTCGTGTCCGGTTCGAGTTGATTGGAAACGTTAGTCGTAGTCGAAGACGTCGGCGAGCTATCCGGCGGTTGATTCGCTTCTTCGCCCACGTCCGGAAGAGTCGACGATCTGGAAGGTGGGGTTTGACCGGCAGGGCTCATGCCAACGCCGCTGTCGTGTCCCCCGGAAGAGGGTGTACCCGGTAATTGAATATTGCCAGCGATGCTAGGAGTTCTGTTTGGCCTCGGCGGCGTATTGCCGCTATTAACGGAGCCCGAATTTGGACTTTGTGGAATGTTTCTAGAGAGTTGTACAACGTTTACCGTAGGGCGCATTCTTGGTGGTACCATCATGTCCAAGGAATTTAAACCTGGCACGTTCTTCGCCAGGATATCCGAATCCCTGACAGCTTTTGCGAGAATGTCGAATTTCCGTTTGCCTAAATTCGATTTGCAATTCAAGTCTCGCCTATCAGCGGAAGCGAGATCCGTTTTACCGGTGATCGCACCACCGGTCCCTTTCTGCTTCTGATAGGTCGATATCGAGTTCTTATTCGGAGAGAATGGCATGTTTTTCTGAATATTCATTAACTCGCTGGTAATATCGCCGCTACTTAAACGTTGCTGCTTCTTCGCACGTATCAACCTTCTATCGACTTCGTCAGCTCTAGTCAACACGATCTTCGGATTCAAATTCAGAGTGCTAAGCATAGGCGCAAACTTCGCCACGCTGTTCGCGTTATTCTCTAAATTATTATTGTCCTTACTCTTGTTCAACAGATTCTTTTGCAATATCTGAGAGATCCTGGTAGGTTTCTTGGAGTTTTGTGGCCTAAACATTCTCAAGGATTTCAGTACAGCCGGATCGCTTCTTCTTTCGGTGATTATCAGAGGAGCAGCCGCCGTATATGCCGAACCTTTTATCGTTTCTCGCTTGTTCTCGTCCATATCAGCCGAAAACAGAGTTATGATATCGTTGCTGCTCACGTCGGAACCGCTCGCGTCCTCGTTCGTGTTCGCGTGTCTAACGTTTTCGTTGATGAGCATGTGGAAGTGCGACATCGATTCGGCGGTCAATTTCGATGCCTTGGAACGTTTCTTGTTCGTCTCTTTACCGGTCAATTTCATCGATTTTTTCTTCGTATCCAATCGATAACCACCGCTGCCGAGACTGTCGGCTTGACTATCCTGCGTATTACTATCGGTGTCCGAAACCGAGCTAACTCTGTTCCTGAAGTGTTTCGGTTTACGTTCTATGCTGTCGTACTCGCTTTCGGACGATTCCAGTCTATGAATCTTTCTTTGTTTTCCTGACCGCCTGATACGCAGAATACTTCCGCTATCCGAATCGGTAGTGGTGGTGTCGTCGAGGCTTCTTCTGGCGGTAGCTCTCTTGTAACTGTTCGCCGGTTGGAAACTACCAAACTGTTCCGAATTGTCTGAAGGTAGATCGACCCATTGTTCGTATCCCTTTTCGATACCGAAGAAAATATCCTTGGTTTCGTCTTCGGAAGGCCAATCCTTGAACTGCGAATAATCGATGTTAAGATATTTCAACTCTTTATTTGTATTTCTCATCTCCTCCGCGTTCTCCAGATATCTTTCGCACAGACCGTTCAACTCTTTCCAGTCCAGAACCCAGCTAAGCATGTGATAACGAGGACTGCTCAATACCACGGCTAAATCGTCGCAAAGCTGCGGAGAAAGGCCGAGTTTCTCCGCATCGAGTACTTGATTAGGCACGGATTTCTCGTCGTAATTCGCGGAACCCGTCACAGCGTCCCCTTTGATCAAAATTAAAGCGTCCAGTGATCGTTCGACGTTCTTAGACATCGTTTCGTTCGATTCCGGGGATTTACTTTTGGATACGTCGTTCCCGGTAAATTCGCCGCAATTGAAACAAAGCTCGCCTAAAGTTTCGTTGACCAGCGAATCCCTCTTCGGGTGCAGGGGACATCTGTCGTTAGCCGAAATCGTGGAATCCGTTTTTTTCGAGGTACTTAAAAGACTTTTCAGCAGTTGATCCGTTCGTTCGAAACTCTTGCTCACTTGACCATTTTGAAAATCCATGTTTTTCTTAGTAACTACAGACGAGGAAACGGCGAGTAACGAAGAACCGCACAAAGAAGAGGCCGTTTCTACGTTCGCGGCTTTCATTCCTTCGTTCTTATCACCGATATTGTTGTCCGGTTTCTTGAATCCTGTGCTCGAGTGATTGTTCTCCAATACGTGCTTGAATTTGTCGGTGACGATGTTACTTTCGTTGGAAGCTCCATCTTCTTTCGTCTTTCCGCATGCCACGGCGATTTCCTTGATCCGGTCGTAACAAGCTCTCGTGGGATGCAACGAGAATGCCGTAAGAACACATTCCCTCGCGATACCGATGTTGTTGCCAACCACATCGGCCAGCTTCAAGAATTGCGTGCTCAAACGTTTCGCGGTTTCGCGAACCTTTTCCGTGTCAGATTTTGTTTTCTGACTCTCCAACTCGTTCATATCCGTCGTTAACGCCCTGATGTACAGTTCGATCACCAAAGGCTTTATACTATCGCCAAACTGTAATTCAAGATCAACAGGATTTTTAACGTTTTTACGTATACTCTCGCGGAAAAACGTATCGTTAAGTCGTTGCACGCGAATTTCCTCTTAATCATAGTTCGACGAACTCTGGTTCGAATATTAGTTCGAACGAAAATCACGATGATCGGAAATTTTGCAAATATACGCGAAAAATTTCATTTGCAACGACCTAACGGTATTGTTAATCGTACATATCACGCGTACGGATAGATATATTTTACGTATAAATAATGCTCACGTGTTTCGCAAGTACTGCACAAAATATATAAATGTGCTGTGCACTTTCGGCAGGTTCAATCAATTTTCGTATCATCCCGGGCAACGTGGGCGCAACGTCTTTCAGCTTCGAATGCAACAATGCCCATGAGTTTAAAATTTGTTCCAAAATATTCGCGCCCGTTTCTGGTACAGGTCGTACCATTCCAGCCGTAACGAGATATTGCGCAACCAATTCGGCAGCTTTTATCGAATTCCTCCAAACCCGTGCAGTTCCATACTTTGTCGGTCTTTCACCGCTGAGTCTTTGGACCAGTTCCAGTCCGTCACTGAGATCCATTAATTTTAACTGTAAAAGAGACAGAGAGCAATGAGACGATATTTTTTATTATTCATCCTTGCGATAAAACAGTGAAACGTTTATATCTACGAGACGAATCGGTTGAAATCAGTGCGTTTTATCGTCGATAATAAAAACAAATCAAGCGGTTCGATCTCTCGTTACGGAAGGATACTTACTTGAGCGAATATATCTTGCGTGCGTTTCAATTTATACAAGAGGACAATATAAACATCGATCATATATTGAACGTGATGAGAATCCGAGAGCGAACGCAATCGATCGCTCCTTCGGAGAGAACGTACGCAGGCAGCGGCGAGGTTCACCGCAATATCCTCGCAGCGGTCCTCGCAAAGTATTTTTAACCTCATTGTCAGCAGTTCGCCTTTCTCCGAACAACAGAATTCTGTTAATCGAAAATACAAACAATTACTACAGATGACAAAGTTTAAATCTGGATAATCGTTTGTGACCAGAAGCTGAGATATTTCGCGTCTTATCAAACGGATTTCGTTTTCGAACCGTATACGAAGCTCGTGATCGTCGAGGGTTTAACTAATCATAATGAAAGGACAAAAGAAACTCGGGCGGCACGATACCCTCTTCATGTTCGGAATCCGGTTGGCCGTTAAGTATGCTGTCGAGAGCGGGATGAGTCCATGGATTGTGCACCAGAGCTATCAGGGCAGTACACCTTGGTGCAGCGGGGTGTTGCACCAGGTGAGAGGCGCACCTCTGTAACGTTACACTGAGGTGCGTCTTCGTCGCGGGTGACAACTTTGGCCACTCCCCGCGCAGTACCAGTTTCAACGTGTGTCTGTAACAAGAGCGATACAAAGTTAGCGGAATTTCGAGTATCGCAAATTTGTCGCGTAGAAAGTAGGAATTCGCAAAAACGATTAACACCTTTTCATCGCGGTGCATCGCAAAGAGAAGGAAGAAGAAGGAGAAGCAAGAGACGAAACAGCGCGCACGCAACATCGTTAGTTTCACAGGTGAAGAATGACGAGAAGAGAATCACGAACGAGCGGAATCACGACGATGGATAATTGCGAGCGTTTCGACGAATATAGAAAGAACGATTGACGCGAATACTCACTTGTGAGCCCATTCTATGAGAGACTGGGTGGCCTCTGGCGTTGCCCCAGGAATGAAATTGGTGACATGCTCCCAGGCGGACAGAAGTGCATTCACCTTGTCGCCGTACTTCTTTTTGCTGTCACTCAATGTCGCTTCAAGCCCCTGCAACTCGATAAATCAGCAATCGATTAAAATACAAACAAAACAACATGCCGTTCGATGACTTATTCCTGATGGCAGCGGAGGAATCGGAGGAATAGGAGGTGGATGGAGCCGTACTCGACTAATTAACCCTCAATATCCTCGCAGCGGTCCTCGCAAAGTATTTTTAACCTCATTGTCAGCAGTTCGCCTTTCTCCGAACAACAGAATTCTGTTAATCGAAAATACAAACAATTACTACAGATGACAAAGTTTAAATCTGGATAATCGTTTGTGACCAGAAGCTGAGATATTTCGCGTCTTATCAAACGGATTTCGTTTTCGAACCGTATACGAAGCTCGTGATCGTCGAGGGTTTAACTAATCATAATGAAAGGACAAAAGAAACTCGGGCGGCACGATACCCTCTTCATGTTCGGAATCCGGTTGGCCGTTAAGTATGCTGTCGAGAGCGGGATGAGTCCATGGATTGTGCACCAGAGCTATCAGGGCAGTACACCTTGGTGCAGCGGGGTGTTGCACCAGGTGAGAGGCGCACCTCTGTAACGTTACACTGAGGTGCGTCTTCGTCGCGGGTGACAACTTTGGCCACTCCCCGCGCAGTACCAGTTTCAACGTGTGTCTGTAACAAGAGCGATACAAAGTTAGCGGAATTTCGAGTATCGCAAATTTGTCGCGTAGAAAGTAGGAATTCGCAAAAACGATTAACACCTTTTCATCGCGGTGCATCGCAAAGAGAAGGAAGAAGAAGGAGAAGCAAGAGACGAAACAGCGCGCACGCAACATCGTTAGTTTCACAGGTGAAGAATGACGAGAAGAGAATCACGAACGAGCGGAATCACGACGATGGATAATTGCGAGCGTTTCGACGAATATAGAAAGAACGATTGACGCGAATACTCACTTGTGAGCCCATTCTATGAGAGACTGGGTGGCCTCTGGCGTTGCCCCAGGAATGAAATTGGTGACATGCTCCCAGGCGGACAGAAGTGCATTCACCTTGTCGCCGTACTTCTTTTTGCTGTCACTCAATGTCGCTTCAAGCCCCTGCAACTCGATAAATCAGCAATCGATTAAAATACAAACAAAACAACATGCCGTTCGATGACTTATTCCTGATGGCAGCGGAGGAATCGGAGGAATAGGAGGTGGATGGAGCCGTACTCGACTAATTAACCCTTTGAAACAGCGTCCGAGCCTCGACAAAGCTTGCTCTCTCTCTCTCTCTCGCTCTCTCCCTCTCTTTCTCTCGTTCTCGTGTATTTGATCCTCGCGAATAAATAACGATTCTCTGCCGAGATAAAACGATATCGTGACAAAAGCATCGAACATCGTATTTCCGTTTTCGAAACGACGAGAGTTTATCCAGAAAAGAAACGGTAAAAGGAAACGTGGAAAATCGTTTCTTCGTCGACGATCGAGAAAACTTTGAGAAAGCGATTCGATACGCGTCGAACGTAATATTGGGCCGAAGAAAAAAAAAGCGCGCCTTCCACGGCTAATCCTAGTTTCGTTCGATTCGATGGAGAAGTTCAGCGAAAGTTGGACGATTAACTAGCCGTTTCGAACGTCTCGTTCGACGATATCGTTTCCGAGACGGAGATTCTGATATCGGTTATCAGAGAATACACTCTCCGTAACGATGTAACGGGTAACCGTTAATTACGGGGAATGGAAATTTTATTAATCGAAAAGCAATAGGGGATCATCGAGAGCAACTCCGAACAACGTAAAAGAGGTATTTCCCTGTAAAACCGCAAATATCGAGCAAACAGGAGGAAAACTATCTAACGAAATCTTCGTTATCGCGCAACACACCGAAGCGACTAATCGAAATTCGAGGGAATCGAGCGAAAATTAACCAGAAACGCGACGATTTCGATCGTCCAATTTTATCTTTTCCCTGTCAAATTCGGAAAAGAGAACAAAGAAGGAAACCAACGGGAAAAAAGCAAAACAGAAAAGAAGAAAGGAAGAAAAAAATAATCGCTCAGCCATTTAAATCTGCAACGATAAAACACCGTGAGTTGTACTTATTTGCTCGCGAATCGGGAGAAGAACGAGGCGACGGCGAAAGGTTAGAGCTAGAATATTTGAAAAATTCAGCAAACTTTCTATCGCTAAAAAGAGTTCGTTTCGAAAGCATCCCTCGCGAACTCGACCATCGGTTACTTACGGAAAACTCTCCCCGATCTTACTTTCGCGTAACTTTCCCCATTTGCAACTTCCATGCTCCCGTTCACGAGTTACCCCCGCGTCGTCGCACGGAAATCTCCCTCGTCTTTCCCTCGGTCCTTTCGCTTCTTTATTTCCTCGTGCTTCCGTCCCTCGACGAATCTTGCCCCTAATTTTACACCTGCGAGGCGTCGCATAAAATCTCTCATTTATCCGTAAAAATTAAACGAATTACTTTGTTGCGCGATATTACTCGATTCGTTATCTTTCTTTCTCTGCTGATCGAAAAGGAAGCTATTTTCGGTATTTCTTTCGTTCGTTCGGTGATCGTACGATGTTCTTTCTCGTTCTCTCTATCTACGAATCAGACATACAGCCACGATCGTGCTTGTATCGAAAGCTGCCAGATTTCCAATACAAACTTTAACATTCCAACGTTTCGACAATGCGACTCTGCACGGCGTACGACGCGTCAGCAACCTTTCGCGAAATTCTGTCAATTTTCTTCCGATATTAAATCGAATTTCGTCGATCGTACAGCGATACTCGCTGCTGTCTCGTAGATTTTTAAACGTTCCCACCCAACCTTAAGGTCCACGTTTTTTCGATTTTGTCGAAAAGAAACTTCGAATTACGGACCTCTCGAGTTACGAACTCGCCTCGTCTTTTATACCACTGTATGATGTCTGCCGAAAAGTTCGATGATTCAAAATAACGCGTTTCCAAACGTTTGCCAGTTTTCCAAAAGCAGAAGAAAATTCAGTTTTCTTCTCTTTGACCATCGGTCGGCTCGGACTGACTGCTTTCTAGATAAAAGTCGTTACACCGAAACAACGACCACCTTCCACCGACCTCGTTTCTCCGGCCGGCATAACGAGCCAGACCGCTTCTCGAGAAACGCTCGAGTCGCGTGCTTGGTCAAACGTCGCGCGTCGCGTATCCTTTTCAAGATTTCGCGCCGTTATCTGCTTCGCGTTCGCTCGCCTTTGACTTCTCGGAAGATAAATTTTTCTCGCAGCGAGAAACGGCGAAAGGAGTATCTCGTCGTTACGAACAAGGTAATGCCGCGTTCGTAAAATGAACTCGTAACGAAGAATAGAAGATTCGAACGGATACATATACGGAGAACGGAGAGAGAACGGAGAGAAGGACGGAGAATGGAGCGAAAAAATAACGTATAAAAACGGGGAAGTGAACCTGTGTCCTCACCACGCACGACTTTTGGATGTGCGAAGACATTCAGAGGGGTAGTCAAGCTGATCGGCGGTACAGCAGCAGTGGTACTGAAGTTCCGAACGAGAGGACGCGTGATGCTCGATCAGACTCGTAAAAAATATCTCTTCTTCTTCTTCTTCTTCGTCGTCGATCGAGGCCTAGGGTAACGAGCGACGCGATATTCCTCGACGTGGTTGCCAGCGAGGGTGCGCTTCCTCCGGTATGTTCCGGTGACGGTGAGCTGGCAGGGGTAGGGGCAGGGCTCGTAGCGGACATCAGCGACCTTCGCAACCGCCAAGGTTCGAACCTGAATTAAGGGAAGATGCCCTTCCGCGAGACCAGTTTTTTCTCTCTTTTCGCTTCCTCCTTTCTTTCTCTTTCCCTCTCTCTCTGCCTCTTCCACTTCCGCTTCCTCTCCCTCTTCCTTTACCCTTACCCTTCCCCTTCCCCTTCACCTTCCCCTTCACGCTGCCTACTTTCTTCCTCTCTTTCCTCCACTTTATCACCGCCAGTCTCCGTTTCTTCTCCTCCACTTCTTCTTCTTTTTCTTCTTCTTCTTCTTCCTTTTCCTCTTCTTCTTTTTGCTCCTCTTCCTCTTCTTCCTATCTTCTCGCGTCTTCTTCGAAAGATGCACGGAACGCTTTTCTCCGACCGGCTGCTGGTCTCCGAGACACGCGCCGCTACCAATCAAACGTCGACGCCTGCTCTATCGCTACCATCTGCAATGCAAAATAACGAAACCAATGAAATCGCGTCTTCGATTGCTCGAGTACGAGAATCTTTATTATAAAAAAAGTGAATACGCGCTTTCGAATTCGGACTAAAGCTCCGAAAAAAAATCTTTCTAATCGTTCCGAATAGTTTCGATTGGCTTCGAACGGCTAATCGACAAGGTATATATTTTTCTCGAAGCTTCGTTCCTATATCTTTTTTCTCTTTTTTTTCCTAGATCCGCCGAGATACCGGCACTCGAAAGAGTATCCTTCGAGCAACCGATAGAAACGTTGTAAAACTTTGAGAAGGTTCTCCTCGGAATTCATGAATTTCGCATGGACTAGCTCGTCGGTGAATTTCGAAATACGATAACGATTCGTCGAGAAAGTTTTATAAGCCCTTTTTCACGGTGCCGTAACGAACCAATGGAATTTTAACGATTCGTGACCCGATTAAGCGCCGTTCGCTAAAATTAAAAGCATCACCGTGAGAAAGGTTCGTTTTACGGACGAATCGGCGGATAAAGCCGTTTCTTCGTTTTTTTTCCTCCCAATACGAATCGAAATAAACAGCGTTCGTTCCAGTCGAATTTCCGCTCTTCCTCCCTACGGACATAACGATAGTCCGAGAAAAGAAACGCGCGTAACGTTGCACCGGAAGAGCGTGTGCAATGCATTTTGTTTCGCTCGCGATACGAGAAGAAGACGCGCGCCCGTTCATCGAGGTCGAATATCTCGATACCGTCCGAACGAGATCGATCCTCTCGCTTGGAAAGTTAGTCTTTTATTCGAGAAGAATAACGGCTCCTCTGTTCGCATCCTTCTCTCGTTCGCAACCTCGTTCTACAACGATCGTAAAGCATTTCGGAAGGAGAAAAACATTTATCTCGGACATTCTATCGCGAGCCACGGTAATCGAAGGACGTTCGAGCGAAGCAAAAATGAAATTGGCCAAAACTTGACTCGACGATTAAGGGCGTTAACGATTTCATTGATCAGGATTCGTATCGAGTTCCGCGAATTCTCTACAACGTTCTTACGCGTATCGAACGAAAGGAAAAATTGAATTCCTGGAAACGCGATGTAGGATAGAAGACGGTGCACGATAGTGGATGCACGGTGTAATCGGCAGTCGGTCAGTTTATATTCGACAGATCGATGAAAGGATTAGATCCCGATTCGATGGCAAGAGGCTACACGCTTCTTCTTCGCGTTTTGCGTAAGATCAATCGGTGCGCGTGCGATCGTTTCTCTCGGAGGCTTGCACCGGTTCGTGACGAATAGCTATTATTCTCCCTTCACCGTCTGCCGACGAAACCAGAGCCCGGCCCAAAGCAGAAACTTATCTATCGATTACACGATTCTGCTGCCTTCTGTCTACCTTGCACACGGTACATTGCACATGGCACACCGCACACGGGGTTACGCGCTTCGTTTCTCGCGTGATCGAGCTTTGCTTTCTGCGTGGAATCGCGCGTCCTGAACGGAACTTTTCCCCCGCTGAATCGACCACTCGATTTACCGAGATACGGAAAGAACGAGCAATTACGTATTCCGACTTAATCGGATCGGTTCTGTTCGTCTAGAGACTAACAACCTCGCCAGCGGATACGTCCGACGTCCCGAATCTAATATCTCTGTTCCCGGAACAAAAGTTCACGAACGCGTTCCCGCAGCCAATCGGTTCTTCGTCTTCGAAATTACGCTTTCGTCGATTAATCGAGGAGACTTTTACTTGACCGGAAGACGGAAACGTTCCTGCCGAAGGACGAACCTTTCTTCTCCGAACAGGAACGAAATAGAAAGAAAAAAAAAATGATTCCGCGCGAAAGAATAAGTTCAAGTTATACTAACCTACAATTTCTTTTATCAGCTTAAAAACCGTTGAAAGCGTAATTTCGGTAATCGGCATAATTATTATTCGTGTACTCGGAGCGATATCTTGTTCTCGTCGAAAGTAGAATATACGAGAAAATCAGTTAACGAATGAACTGGCAAATTTCGATACAGGCGTGGCTTTTCCCTTCCGTTTTACTTTCTTTCTTTCTTGAAAGAGAGAGAAAGAGAGAAAGAGAGTAAGAGAAAAAAGAAAAGCAGAGAACTCGATTCAGAACCGAGCTGAAACTCGTTAAAAAAAAGGATACGATTTTTTCGTCCATTTCGACAAAGGACCACCTGTTGCCATATAACAGCTGACGCATCGACGTTGGATCGGCCAGGCGATTACCTTAATTTTCATTAAGCGCATTTTTCCTCATATTTTCCGTCGGCACTAAATCCACCGAGTACATCAGTCGTTGTCTACGTGTTAGCGCATAAGAACAGAGGCGAGTCCTCCAGTTGTTAATCTCCGAATAGACGCCACGCGACTCGAGGGACGTATTTCGCGATACTTTTCGGTCATCGAATGAAAAATCGATCCGTCTATAATTAGCGATCGAAATCGCGAGGACAAACGGAATCGAAAAATTGATCGAGTTCGCGAAGAAAGGGACGATCGGATCGAAACTCGCGGACGTCGTCTGTTCTTTTTCTAGACTTTTTCGACAATAGCAACGGTTCCGTGCTCCCTACGGTGTCTCTCGTCTACCGTGTTTCCAACTCTACCATTACGATATTCGCGTATCTCGTCTCGGATTTCGTTTTGTCCCCGAAAATCCCCAACGGAAACGTTCCTCGACGCGATATTTAACGGCACAATGTCTCTACTTTTAACCCCGCGTACAGCGACGCGCGCGCATCGCTTCGCTTTATTTTCTTGTCCGTTTTTTTCCTCTCGTTTCGTTCCTTTTAAGGGAGGCAGCGCGAGAAGGCGGTATCTTTCTCGTTCGAGGTTTTCTCGCTCGTCCAATGCATCGGTCTCTCCTTTCCAACGGATAACGCGTAACAGTATCGTCAATTAATTCTCGCGAAAAATTACGATCTAGATTTTCGATGCGTCGCGAGCGAAGGTTGTTCGCGTTAAAATGCAAGAATATCGATAAAAATTGCGTGTTTCGCGAAACACGTTACGCTTACGGATGTAACTTGTTTCAACGCTTGTTCCTTTTACACGATAAGTCACGATTCTTCGACAACCGTTAAGCAAACGCTGACATCTATATTTAATTATTACCGGTGCTCGTTCCGCGAACCTATAGATACCTCGGTGGTAACCTAAAAGCGCGTCTAACGGACTTTTTCACGTTCTAGACTCTGCGCTTCGAAGCTATAGAATTGTTTCCCGCGTAGCCAATTCCGAGAATCGGTGGATAAAGAATTTTGCCATATTACAAAGTTGTTTGGAAGTAAGCGAGAATCCCGCGTAAGTTCGGTGTACGGTCGAAAAGGAGCGAGTAAAGGGAAGAGGAGTACTCGAATAATGCGTTTAGTCTCTCGGAGCCTCGAAAGCTCGTTACCGGCTACGATCGTCTAATCTTGGCTAAACGAGCAGAAGAAGGTACTCCTAGTACTTCGGGGTTAAACGTAGGCGCTCTGGTTAGGCTCGTTCGAGTTTCAACGACCAGAAAGAACAAATAGTTGGACGAGTAACGTTTAAGCGGATGAAAAAAACGAGATCTTATTAGGCGAGATACCGGCTCGATCGGGGCGAAAACGACGTCTTCGAAATCAGCAAAATTTACAGGCTCGCTTTACTTTTATTCGATTCGGTTCGTAATATATGGTACGCGCGATGTTGTTCGATTCGAGAAGTAAACAAGAACCGGGTTTCGCGTTCGCGTCCCGGAAAGATTTAAACGGGCCGTTGCTGTCTCGCGTTAGGCGACGAAACACATTTTTCAATTCCACGGGAAAATGGGTTAGCGAAGGTAGCCGTGGTCGAGAAAGCGGAGGAACGGGACTCGAAAGAAGAAGGCTCGACCGGTGACAAAGCGAAAGAGCTTTTCGTCCACTGGCATAGCTTTGTTCGCTTTGTAGGATATTCGAGCATTAGTTATCTCGAGTTTTTCTCTTTTCTAAATAGTCGCCTACCGAATAATCGATTCCAAAATATATCGAGTCATTTTCATCGGAGTCATTTTCAAACGAATTCTCTGGCCGGACATCAAAAGCTCGCAATTACATTTCCATTTCGACAAAACACAGGGATCGCGTTAGAACGAGGTTTAATTAAATTCCGCGCTAAGAATATGACGCAAGCCACGTAATTTCAATTTCGTCCACGAGTTTCTTACGGAAGGATCGAAACGTTCGTCTAGCGCAATCCGTTCACCCGAGTCTTCGAACGATTTATCGACTGTTAGGAAGGGAAAGATCGAAAAGCCTGAAGAAAAAATGTTGTTACAAGAAAGTATGCAAATATCGCGAGAAAAGGTACACCTACGATCGCAATTGCCGGAGTCGATCGAGCTTATGACCGGCCTTAATACCTTACGATGTAAGGCTTACTTCGAGCAACGTACGTTCCTTTGGCATGTAAGCGTAAACATAAACGTAAACGTAAACTTGAGCCAACCATCGATCACGAAGAACGAAGGTAAATTTGAAAGGTCCGCCACTTGAATCGAAAACGTTATTCGCTCGCTCCGGAACGTGGATCCCTTATCGCGTTTATTTTCTTCGCGCGTCAAAATTAAAAGCCGTTTTTCATCGTTTCTCTTTTTTCGCTGAAGAGTCAATAACGTCAATAGCGAACGCTTCTCGCTTGTTCGATCATGCTCGATAAGCAAGACTATCGTTTGTAAAAATCTTGTTTCGAACGATAAGATTCACGAATTAACGCCAACGCGTTTCGATTTCGGTGTGATAAGAACTCCCGAGGTAGGAAGGAAGACGATACATTCGCTCGTTTCGCGTTCGAAAACGTTTTCTCCTTGCGATGAACAAAAAGAAAGCAAAGATGCATGAATACTCCGTTTAAAAGTTGATCGACCATGCGAACAGCTGATCGGAGAGAAACAGGTAACGTTCAGGGCTCAGGGTCGTTCGTCGGATACTATCTTACCATGGATATTCGTTGGACTGGCTGCGCGTCAGGAACACGAGGTCTAATGAAAACGAAAGAA